GGAGCACAGGCTCCGGACGCGCAGGCTCAGCGGCCATGGCTCACGGGCCCAGCCGCTCCGCGGCATGTGGGATCTTCCCGGACCGGGGCACGAACCCGTGTCCCCTGCATCGGCAGGCGGACTCTCAACCACTGCGCCACCAGGGAAGCCCAGATTTATGTTTTTAATGCCTTTTTTTTTTTTTTTTTTTTGGCCAGGCCACGGGGCATGTGGGATCTTAGTTCCCCGTCCAGGGATTGAACCTGTGCTCCCTGCAGTGGAAGCACGGAGTCTTAACCACTGGACTGCCAGGGAAGTCCCAGATTTACGTTTTCAAAGAATAATCACTCCAGGCATAGGAGTTAAAGGATTAGAACTATGTATTTTCCAGGATAAAACTATACTCTTAAACAGTAGAGAGAAATTTTTTTAACAAGAGCTCTCTGTATTTCTTTGTTTTTCATTATAGAAATCAGGACCTTTGATATTTAGGAAAACTATGTTTAACTCTACTGAGATCAAGTTTTCTGGTAAGTATAATAAACTAATATAACAGTAAAATAACAATAAATTATAAATGAGCAACATGTAGTATCAACTCATGCATTAATTTAACATAAACTAACATAACACATTGTAATATTATATATTTTAAACTAGGCAAATGTTTTTAAGTGATCCTAACATTTTAAGGGTTTCTTTTGTTCCAGTCGGGTCATAGTTATTTTCAAGAATGAATTTTTCTGATCCTGTCTCAGAAAATGTAATGTGAATCATTCTTTATCATTCTTTAAAAATTATAGTTAAAACCTAGTAAAGAAGTCTTCAGCAAAAAAGCATTTGACCTCCGAAATTTGACTCTGAATCCCTTTTAAAATTCAGTAAATTCTTTTTATGGTTGTATGAAATGCCATGATTGTGATGAAACCTTCGTGTTTCTGAAAATTTTCTAAATATACACATGATCACAGTATGAAATAAAAATTATTAGACACTAACAATTAGGATTTTAGAGCCTATGAAAGTGAAAATATTTGTTAGGGACTGTGTTGTCTGTGTAAATACTGGTGTGTCATGACTACCAAGTCATAGATCTTGAGGTTTGCAGTATTTTTAATGAGTTTACATTGGATCATATTTACTGTGCACTAACCCCTCTAGGTGTTTCCAGTAACTTGACTAGGTCAGTTGGTTGCCAGAGTTAAAGTTTGGGGTAAGGGGTAGTTTTTTTGTTGGGTAGAGCAAATTGGCTTCGTGGGACCCACAGCCGTGGCCCTTTTATCTCTCACACCATGCTCTGAACATTTGTTGGAGAATTCTGCCGTGTGTGGTCTTTGCTGACGGAAGTAGGCCAGTCATCAGCTAGAAAGCAAAGGCGGTTCAAAGCAGCTTCGTGATATAGATCATCAGTGGTGATAAGAGCTTGGTAAGAGGAAATTGAAGCCCAAGGTGGGTGAGGAAAAAATTTTGGCCTCTCAATGCTTTAATAAATTCATGTCTCACTGTCTAGACAAGATTTAAAACACTGGTGCAGACAAAAAAATTACATGGGGGAATAAAAAGTTATAGGGACCACTGAAACACAGAATTTGAATTTTTTTTAAATCAATATGTAATGTCCGAGATCAGCCTAAAAGTAGACCACAATTTAGTATTAACATATCTAAAGAAAGAAAAATGAGGCAGCAGAAGGGAGTTAGGAACAAAAACGTAAAAAAAAAAAATGAGGGTTTAGTCAGGTAGAAGCTGGCAGTGTCCCAGCACTGATGGGAGAGAGGTCTTTCTGTAACTATGACCGTAGCTCTAACATCGTGGCTGGCGGGGGTGGATGAAGTGCCCACCTGAGCCTCTTTGTTCTGCTGCCATATTCACCAAGGAGCCTTCTCATCATCTATAGTTACTGTTTAAGTGAGTAATTGGGCGTTAAGTTTTACACACCTACATCCTTGGTGTGAAAGATGAAACTGAGTCTCTGAGTTCTCACAGAGCCAAATTTTACTTTATTATTATTATTTAAAAAAATATTTGTTAGGAATGACTTTATTAATTAATTAACTTATTTATTTATGGCTGCATTGGGTCTTCGTTGCTGCGCACGGGCTTTCTCTAGTTGTGGCGAGCGAGGGCTACTCTTCATCGCGGTGCGCGGGCTTCTCGTCATGGTGGCTTCTCTTGTTGCGGAGCACGGGCTCTAGGTGTGCGGGCTTCAGTAATTGTGGCGCATGGGCTCAGTAGTTGTGGCGTGCGGGCTCTAGAGCGCAGGCTCTGTAGTTGTGGCGCATGGGCTTAGTTGCTCCACGGCATGTGGGATCTTCCCAGACCAGGGCTCGGAACTGTGTCCCCTGCATTGGCAGGCGGGTTCTTAACCACTGCGCTACCAGGGAAGTCCCAGAGCCAAATTTTAGTGCCTACAAAGTTAAGCATTGGTCCCTTGGGTATGTGTCCGTGCTGTTTGGTGGATCAGATGCCTTGCTTTCCCTAAGGAAAGCTAAGGTGACCCCTCTTAGCTACTCCATTCAAGATGCCATCATGTGGAGCCACTGGTGAAAATCTCTCAGTGTAATTCACCATATTAACAGAATAAAAGAAATACATCATATAATCGTCTCAATATATACAAAAAAGCATTTGAAAAAAACCAGCATCTATCCATGATGGAAACTCTCAGAAAACTAGAAATAGAAGGAAATGTCCTCAACCTGATAAAGGGCATCTATGATAAATCTATAACTTAACATTATACTGGCAAGTCTCCCCAGATTGACCAATAAATTCAATTAATCCCAATCAAAATCCAAGCAGACTTATGTAGAAACTGGCTAGCTGTTTCTGAAACTTATATGCAAATACAGAGGACCTAGAATAGCCAAAACAATTTTAAAAAAGAACAAAGTGGGAGGGCTTTTACTCTCTGATTTCAGAACTGAACATGAAGCTACGGTAATCCTAACACTGTGGAACTGCGATAGACACATAGAACAGTGCACATCGTTGTCGAATTGACTGATTCATGTCATGATTATGACTCAACTTTTCCCACTTTGTATATCTAGTATTTTTGTTTGGATAGTGGATATCGTGAATTTTACATTCTCGAGTACTAGAATGTTGTATTGCGTGAACAACTTTGTTCTGGCAGACAGTTACGTTTCTTTGGGGTCAGTTCGATCCTTTGCAGTTTTGTTTTTAATTTCTTTTAGGAGGGATCAGGGGTAGCCTTTACTCTAGAACTAACTTAGCACCACTTCTAAGGTGTGACTCTTCTGCGTCTCTCCCAGACACGGGGTGTGTTTACTGAGGCCTTTCCTCTCTGGCTAGTTCCCATCCCCATGTGAACTCAGAATTTTTCAGCTTGTCCCTGTGCACGGGCAGGCTGTTATGCAGCCAGAGACCAAGGATCTGTATGCAGATTTCATTGACCCTTTCTCTGTGTAGTTCCCACCTCTTGGGTACTCTGCCCCAGAAACTCTACCAGCCTCAGCCTTGGTTAACCGTAATAATTTAATTTAAGGAATTTATCTGTCTCATTTTGCAGTGACTTTTTGGAGAAATTAGGTAATACTTTACTCATGGTTTCCTTAAAGTTGTCTATTTTATTTATTTATTTTTTTAAGGAACATTTGTTTATTTATTTTTGGCTGCGTTGGGCCTTCGTTTCTGCACGCGGGCTTTCTCTAGTTGTGGCGAGCAGGGGCTACTCTTTGTTGCCGTGTGCTACCTTCTCATTGCGGTGGCTTCCCTTGTTGTGGAGCACAGGCTCTAGGCGCGCGGGCTTCAGTAGTTGTGGCACATGGGCTCAGTAGTTGTGGTGCACGGGCTTAGTTGCTCCACGGCATTTGGGATCTTCCCGGACCAGGGCTCGAACCCATGTCCCCTGCCTTGGCAGTCAGAGTCTTAACCACTGCGCCACAGGGAAGTCCAAAGTAGTCTATTTTAAATTGCATTCTTGAAACCTTAAGTTTATGTTAGAGTATATATATTATTGTTGTAAAATGAGACTTTCTTTCTCTAAACAGTTAAGTCATTCAGGTGCTCTGGGCCTGTGAAGTTTACCATAGTGTGGCTTTTGGAACATCATACCTGTCACAATGAATATTCTAAGCTGGAAGTAAGTAAAACACAAATTTTAAATGTGTCTAAAGCTATGAAGGAAAAGATAGGAGTTTTAAGATTTATTAGCTTGTCAAGTGAGGAGGCCAGGAATAGAGAAGTGCCACAGATTTGGGGACTTAGGCAATAAATGCATTAATTATATCAAAGTATATGCTTTCTGAGAATACAGATCTTTTAGTTTCCTTGTATCTTATGAAAAATGTTAGTAAATATTTAAATCAGAGTTGTGGAAACCATTGATAAGGGGACTGTGGGTCACGCACAAATGAAAACCAACTCAATTTAAAGAAGAAATGTAAAAGTGTCACTTCGTTCAAAAAATTAGTAATAGGGAACCTAGAACTTCAGTGAGTGTGAGTAGATTTAGTGAGTATAAGTAGACCTCAGAAAGAGGTGAGGAGGGAAAAGGAGGGGGAGAGTGTGAGAGGAGGAAAAAGAGACCGGGTTAGGTCAGTGTGTATTTCCTACGAACAAAGATATTCCCTTAGATTACACAGTACAGAGATCAGATTTACGAAATTTAACAGTGATACAATGCTAATTGATATAATAGCTAATAAACCATGTTCAAACTTTGCCAGTGTCCCAACAACATCCTTTTTAGCAGCTTTTTTCTTTTCTTTTCTTTTCTTTTTCTGGTACAGGATCCAATCCAGGATCACCTTGTATTTCTGCAGGGGTTTTTTTGGGGGGGGTGGAGGTGTTGAGGGTGGTTCATGACATGACATTGATATCTTTGAGGTGTACAAGCCATTTATTTTTACAAAATGTCCCTCAATTTGAATATTTCTCACGTTTCCTCGTGATTAAATTCAGGTTATATTTTTGGCAGGCATACCAGAAAGTATACTGTTTTGTCCCATTTTTGGTGATGTTAACTTTGATCAGTTAAGGAATTTTCTGCCAGGTTTCTCCACTGTAAAGCTACTACTTTTCTCCTTGTTGTTAACAATAATTTGTGAAGAAATACTTTTGTATTTATGTGCAAATATCCTGTTTCTTCATCATTCCTTGTTTTAACATTCTTTGATTCTTGCCTGAATCAAAGCACAGTTACCACTGTGATGATTGCTAAACAATGATTTTCTAATTCCATGTTTTCTCCTACATTTATTAGCATTCGACTATGAGGTTGCACTCTTTTCCCCTCTCTTATCCGTCTGTCAGTCAATCAATTATCAATATGGACTCATTGATTTTAACTTTGTTGGGTGGGTTATAATCTATTACTGTTTTTATGTATTTTGCTCAAATTGTCTCATATTTGGCCAATGGAAGCCTCTTAACCTTTTCTTCATGCCTGGGAGTTGCCATTAGGAGCGCGGTTTTATTCATCCATCTAGGAGCCTCATTGTTAGTTGATGTGTAAATGAGTGTTCCCCCTGCACTCAGTTGGGTTTGCCATCTTTGCTTTATGTTACTAAGTGTTTGGTTTATCTTTCCTTATAATTAAATGCTGCTTTCTTTCTCTGTAAAATCTTTTATACCTGGAGTAAAATGGAAGTAGCCCCAGGACAAAGTATTTTGTATTTCTCTGTGAACCATTTCCTTGTAGTAACATCTTAATCACTTTTATTACTGTAAGAGAATGCTTATATTATGTATTACTGTATCTGAGCATATCAGAAAGGCTAAAATGTTATGATTACCTCAATTGTACTGAAAATTATATTCAAAACTTTTTCTATTTGGTATTTTGTTCTATTGCATGTTTCAAGTGTTCCAAGCTGAATAACTTTTTGGTATTATTTAGATATTAAGTGGAAATAAATTATGACATAGAATCTTACTTTGCATAGGAGCTGTCACAAAAACATGAACTTAGTGTCAGTGAAGACTTTTGTGGTCATTATTTCAAGAACAGTGAATGTTGGACAACAAAAAAAGAAAACTTAGATTGCAACAGTGATTTACAGGTATTTGCCTCATTGAATGTGAGTACCTGTCTTGCGATGTTGAAATAGAATTTACGTTTCTCCCAGTGAATGCAAGTATCAACTTCTGTTTTATCAGTATTTTGATAAAGGAAGGTACTTAAGTTGTCAGTTATTAGGTTTAGTTCTTCTGTGTGTGTGGCAGTACATAATAAGTGGAACCATTGTTCCATTTCTTTGTGCCTTTTGCAGCAGCATCCTTGAAAGAGGATCCTTTTATCATCCTTTCATGATTTGCTGTCATTCCATCCCTCGTCTCTCTTCTGCCCACCCCAGTCAGGGCTTTGCCCCCATCATCCCATCAGAACAGCTCTAGTCAAGGTCACCAGTGACCTCCATGTCATTAGATCCCTAGGTCTATTACTCCTACTGAAGGTCTGTCAGTGTACTTGACTTACCAGCATTTAACACACTTGAGCACTCTCCTTTGTGCACTTTCTCCTCCTAGCCTAGAAGACTAGATTCTAAAATGTTAACAGCGGTCATCTCTGGGTGGTGAGGCTGTGGGTCGTTTTAACTGATTTTTTGTCCTGTAAATTCTGAAATGAAAATGTCTTTAATAAAAACGTTAAAGGGTTGTTTTAAAACTTTGTGTCAAGGTATAAGAAATATACATAAACTTACAGCAAAGTTTGCATATCAGCAGCGTAGGGTTTGATGAATTTTCACAACCTGAACCCACCCGTGTGAATCCCGATCAAGATCAGGGCTTTTGAGCACCTCTAGCTCCCTTTGAGTTCCTACTACCCTCCCTGCCAACGGTAACCACTACCCTGATTAAGGAAGTAATTTTTCAAAAGTAGGATTTTGTTACGCATGTTTGGGATACAGTGAGATTTGTTCTCTGGTGTTCAGCTTTAATCTTTACTTTTTTCATAACACATTTTTTTTCTTAATTGTTGAAACTATTTTTCCTTATGGAAATGCAACATTATAAAATGAAATTATTTTATTTTATTTTTCCAGAATAAAGAACTAATAACAAATACCGGAAATGTTACAAACCAGGAAGGGTCAGCGGTAAGTCATTTTATTTGCCTTTAAATCAAATACATACAAGTTAGAGTAAGACTGAGCAGAATCTGTTGATGGACAGATACTCAGAGAGTGATCTAAAGTAGGGTTAGTAGAGTTAGGAAAGAAAAAAGAAGCATTATTTAAAACAGTATATTTCCTTACATATGTCTGTGTGAATTTTGTACATGCTTGGTTCTGTCTTTGTTTAAAAATCTCTTTAAAGGTGTGATTTAACAGTAACTTCTATGTAGTCTTTCTTTATTTTAAAAAATAAAACTCCGCTGCCAAATACCTGAGACAGCACAGCAGTGGGCGGAGCTGTATCGTCATTAAGGAAGTAAAGAAATAGATAGAAACCATGATGTAGCACGAGGGGGAGGGGAAATTTGGAATTTGGGGAAATTACTCAAAGTCAGAAGACTAAGAGGTTGAGAGGATTACAAGGAGTTGAGTGTAGGGACTGAAAGTGGATTTAGAAGAGCTTGATGTTTGCCTTTAGACTGGGACTCTTCTGCTTTCATACTGTTTTCTCCAAACATCTTACAGAGTAGTCTGGTAGTGGAAGGGCATTCACTCTGCAGTGGCTGGACCAACTCTTTGCTTTACAGAAACTGTCACAGGTGGAGGAGTAGGAAATGAGAGGGAAGGATGGGAAATACTCAGGAAGGAGGAGTGTGAAAAGTTTGGTCCGGCTACGTGAGGGCACTGCAGGGTTCACAGGCAGTCCCAGTGGGCTCAGTTTCAGGCCTCAGTGGGACTGCTAGCAACAGAGTGCCTTAAGGAATTTAAATACTTTAGCCTATACACCGAATCTGAGTCATTTCCAGCAATGTTATCTGACATCTTTCTCCCCCAGTTCAATTAAAAAGGACACACATTTAAAAACTGGATGCTTGGGACTTCCCTGGTGGTCCAGTGGTTAAGACTCCACGCTTCCAATGCAGGCGGTGCGGGTTCAATCCCTGGTCAGGAAACTAAGATTCCGCATGCCACAGGGCGTGGCCAAAAAGTATAAATAAATAAATAAATGCTTGATTATACTAGGATATTAGAAAAACTGTTTGAAAGGTAGTATTAAATAAAACATAGAATGGTAACATTGGGGGGAAAACCTGTAGAATTATAAAAAGTAGAAAACATTGGCAAGTGGAAAAGGCTTTTTTCCTCTTCCATCCCTTTGGGTCTGGGAGGATGGTGGTAAAAAAAAACACAAATGGAGGAAATCCTTCCACTACCCACTGTCCTTCCACAGCCCACCATTCCTTTTATCTGTGTTTTGTTTTTTTTTTAAAGTAACCCAATTCAATTCTTAAAAGTTGTTTTAAAATGTGGTGGACAATCATTTAGCTATATCTTATATAGCAATTAAAAAAAATAACATGAAGGATTTTTTTTCTGTTTCAGGATGTTGTAGCCAAAACACAGAGAGATGGGTTTCATATCTTTATTGTTTCTATTAAAACAGAAAAAACAGATGCAAGCTGGAATTTGAATGGTATAGTTAAACAGTATGCATGTTTTATTGTCTGCTTTTACTGTATTCTGTATTTTTGTCATTAACCCAAATCTACATTCTCTGTTAAAACACATTATTCAAAAATGATTTTCTGGGCTTCCCTGGTGGCGCGGTGGTTGGGAGTCCACCTGCCGATGCAGGGGACGCGGGTTCGTGCCCTGGTCCGGGAGGATCCCACGTGCCGCGGAGTGGCTGGGCCCGTGGGCCATGGCCGCTGGGCCTGTGCGTCCGGAGCCTGTGCTCTGCAGCGGGAAAGGCCAAAACAGTGAGAGGCCCGTGTAAGGTAAAAAAAAAAAAAAAAAAAAAATGATTTTCTGTTAATCACAAAAATGAATAATCTGTTTATTTGGGGTACTTAGAACTTTATGCTTATCTTAACTCTAATATATTTTTTTTTAACGGAATGGAAATTTTAAATTCATTTAAGATAAATTTTGGGAGCTCCCTGGTGGTCCAGTGGTTGGGACTCTGTGCTTCGGCTGCTGAGGGCCAGGGTTCAATCCCTGGTCGGGGAACTAGGATCCCACAAGCCGCACAGCGTGGCCAAGAAAAAAATAAATAAAAGGGTGAATTAAAAAAAAAAGATAAATTTTAAAAGTTTTAAACTTGATAGAGGATACAAAATTCTCCATCCTTCCAGATTAAAAAAAATTTTTGTAACATGTAGAAATGGGTAGGTGACACCTTAATCGTACTTGAAGTGGATTATATATCCTGTTACTTGAAAATGGCCATCATCAGGGGTTCAAAATTTTTGTTCTTTAAAAAGTTTAAGAAAAGGAATCTGTTTGTAGCCTAGGAGTAGAAGTAGCATGTCTGGCAACTGTGGCTTCTGTGGTCTGTGAGCTCCCCTGCCTGCTCATAAGGTAGATGCTCTTTGCCTCGTGAAACCGTAGCTCCTGGTGCCCAGTGTGAGAGCAGGCTCACACTAAGTGGTTTTCAAGGGAGCGAATGCTTCCATGGGTCCTGGAATTGCTTTAGCGGTCATTTTCTGGACTGGGTATCTGCTGGGCTGACAGTAGCCAAGCAGCATGTGAGGATCCTGGGGATTTGCAAACTGCTCTGATTCACCCACTGGGGCACAGAAGTGAAGCCAGGCTCTGTCTCTGAGGGGCACCCAGTCCAGAGAGGAGGGAGAAAGCAGTGAGGTGAGTCAGGCATGGCCGCAGAGGAGGCCCAGAGCTGGTCTTCCACGGGGAAGCTGGTGGCGGGGCTGCTCTGGAGAGTGTGAAGCAGGCCTTCCTCCCGGAGGTACTGTAATGGGCCCAGACCATGCCACACAGGGAGCAGGGGCGTTGCTGCCATCCTGCTCCCCAGCCTGTGCGCCCTGCCTTTCCAGGTGTGGCGTCTTTTCCTCTGACGCCAGCAGGCAGCTTTAAGCTTCTGCTGGTTAGTAACTGGCGCAGTTGCTAAGCCTTGCAAGTCTTGCGCTGTATTCGGCACTCTGTTCGTTATTGCTCTCGGACAACAACCCAAACTAGATTCTGGAGTTCAGTAAATTTTTTTAAATTAATCAATTAATTAATTTGGCTGTGCTGGGTTGCCGCGTGCGGGATCTTCGTTGCACCGTGTGGGATCTTTAGTTGCAGCGTGTGGGATCTTACTTGCAGCATGTGGGATCTAGTTCCCTGACCAGGGATGGAACCCAGGCCCCCTGCATTGGGGGCTTGGAGTCGTAACTGCTGGACCACCAGGGAAGTCCCTGGAGTTCAGAATTTATCCAAGGTACATTAAGAAAGACAAAGTCCTCAGCTAGGTCAAGGACTCAGCCAGGGCCAATCTCAGACCAGGACTGCTTTGCTGTCTGCATAAGATCTGACTTGGCTCACACTTTACAAGAGCATGTATACAAATACGTAAAGATATCTTTATACAGTTACATAATCAAAGGTTAAAATTCAGCATTTGTTAACTTGGTTTGTATTCTTGGGAGTCTTAAAATGAGCTTACATTGAAAAACTTAAGGAAAACTGGTTGTTAATTTTAATGCCTTAATTTCTTTATCCCCACCCTGCCTTCACAGTCTCTCTCTCTATGATGGGGCCTCATGGATATATCTCTGCATCAGATTGGCCTCTGATGATTGTGAGTATCTCTCATCATTTCTTCCTTTTTTAAAAATGAGTTTTGTATCCCAGTTGGAACATTTAAACATTTTAAGAGCTCAGTGGTGGTAATTCCTCAGTAGCTAACACTTTGACATACCCTCTATTTCTGGTTCCATGGTGACTGGAAAATAAAGGATTGCAAACTTGAATGTAGAAATGTCAATTTTCAAATGACCAAAAGGCTTAACTGACTAAAATTGCTTCTCCTCCCACAGTTCTACATGGTGATGTGTATCGTTTATATCTTATATGGCATACTCTGGCTGATGTGGTCTGCCTGCTATTGGAAAGATATACTAAGAATCCAGTTCTGGATTGCAGCTGTTATTTTCCTGGGAATGCTTGAAAAAGCAGTTTTTTATGCTGAATACCAAAACATCAACAGCACTGGGTTATCAAGTAAGTGGCGACTGTGTCCATGAATATGGTGTGACCCAAGAGTCACCTAGCATTTGTGAGCAGAGCTGTGGGGACTCCCCCCCGCCCCACCTTCATACAGTGGTTTGGGAACAACCATATAGGTGAAGAGGAGGGAAGCCAGGAAGAGAATATCAGAGTAGGACTCTGATCTAGGCTAGCATGTGTGTTGTCTTCATTTTCTGTTTTCTTCTTGCTGGCTTTCCCTTACTTCCCTCCTGGGGAAAAGAAAATTCCTGTTCCCTAAGGTTCAGCTACCCGTGACTGGCTTTAAACAACACGAAGTTCTGGACTGGGGACATCGGGTGCTGCCAATCCTTTTAACATATTTCTCTGTATTTTTCCCCATCCTCTCTCTTCTCCTTTCCCCTCCAAAGAAGAAAAGAAAATTTGGCCACAGGGAGTAAAATTAGTAGTGCCAGGATGGATGGTGACTGCACCCTTTTTGCAAAGAACTTCATGTGACCGTGGGAGACACCATCCCAGCTTACACAGTAGAATGTGGCAAGCAGGCAGGACATATAGTGGGGCATCCTCAGATGGGTGCCCCAGACTTCTAGAAGATAGAGTTCAAAAGGGCCAGAGAAGTAAAGGTACAATTCATTCCATCGCTGAACCTTCAAAAGGGAGATAGCTCAGAAGGATAGAAAGCCCTCAGGAATGTGCTTCTGAGCGGTCAGTTACAAATGATCGTGGTACAGGTTTTCAAAGGGTGTAGTTGTGTCTGCTCTTTATTTTAAAATACTCTGGGAAAAAAAGAGGGTGAGTTGGAAAATAGATGAGACAAATTTAGCATAATGTTGATAATTATGGAAGCTGAGTGATGGGTACGTGGGAGTTCATTATATCGCTTTCTCTGTGTTGAAGAATGTTTGTAATTTCCCAAAATAAAAAGATTAAAAAGACATGTACAAGACAATAAAGTAAACACAAACATCCAGGGAGGCATGTTAGAGGTATTATTACCCTATAAGAAGTTTTAGTGACGTGCGTGCATGTGTATGTGTGTGTGCCTGCCCTAAACCAGATAAGGAAGGAAGGATAGAGCTGCTGCATATGACTGGGGGTTAAAGCATTCTTGAATGTCAGAGAAGGCGGGTCAGCTCCTTTGCTGCCAGTGGTGGGGGTCTCTGTCTAGAAGAGGGTGGCGTGAACTTGGGTGAAGGGCAGCAAAAGCCCGAGATCCATGGAGAGAAGGAAAGACCATCTATCTTCCTCAGGGCCTTCAGGCCCTCTGAGATGACACCAGAAGGCCCTTGGAAGAGAAACGCCAGACTGCTGTCCTTGTCTTTGAGGAGTCCTGTGGAAAGGAGAGGCGCCAGACGAGGCCTGGGCTGATGTTGTTTCTGATTTTCCCAATCGTAAATTCTGTAACCCAGGCTGTCTTGCTTGGCATTGGTCCTGGAAGGATAGACTTCAGAAAAATCAAGCAATGATGATTTAGTGATTGTTAGGACCCAGCAAGGATACATTAAGAATAGGTCATGTCAGTTGACTTCTTTGTTTTTTGCTTCTAGATTGGCAGTTAGGCAAATGTAATGAATTTAGTATATCTGCACTTCTTCAAGGTATTGGGCAAGGTCTCTTGTGGTTTCTTCTAGAGAAGGCAGAGAAACATGAACTGAAAACAAGAATATTGGGTGGATTCACAACTCGTTTCTGAATGGCTTTCTCCTCTCCACCTTTACCGCCAGCACTCTCAACATCTCTTGGCTAAATTCTGGAATAGACTCCTGAGTGGTCTCCTCACCTACAGTCTATTCCCCTCCAAGCCATTAAGTAGAGCAATCTTGATAAAATAAAGCTGTCTACTTTATTCCAAGGGTCAGCAAGCTTTTCCTGCAAAGTCTACACAGTAAATATTTCTGGCTTTGCGAGCCATGTAGTCTGTGTTGCAACTTCTCAACGACTGCCATTGGAGCATGAAAGCTGCCACAGACAACAAATGGGCATGGCTGTGTTCCAATAAAACTTTATTTACAAAACAGATGTAGGGCCAGATTTGGCCTATGGGCTGTAGTTTACTAGTTCCTTTTTCACTCCCTTGTTTACTATCATTGACTTCCCACTGCCCTCAGCAACAAGCCCTGACTCATGGCCTAGCCTAAAACTGAGGCGATTGGGCCCTGCCTCTGCCCCAGCCTCTTTTCTTGACCTCCCTCGTTACACGCCCTGCTGCAGACATGCCGAACTTTCACTTCTTGCAGCATATTTGGCTTTGTCTCTTTTTCCCTCCATGCCTTTGCATGTGCCATTTCCTTTGCTTTCCCCTTTCCCTCCTCCAAACGGTTAACTCCTACTCAGCCTTCAAACCCTGGTGTAGATGTCACTTCCTATGAGAAGATTTTCCTGCCCCGTGTGGATTAGGTCGCTTTCATCACAATCCTGGGAGATACAGCGTTACCTCCAGCACTTGCTGAATTCTGTCCATTTACTTGTCCCGACCAGAGTACAGGCTTCACGAGGGCAGGGAACGTGGTGTGTCTTTTACTGTGATAGCCACACGGTAGGAGCGTGAATGAGGGCAACCTGGAGAAAAGAGAGCTCTTGAGGGCGTTATGGTTTTCAGATATTTACAGGACAGGAAAGGGCTACAATCCTTTGTAGCCTCAAGGGGAAGAATAAGAACAGAGGGGAGCTCGGGGAGACAGATTTCCAGTGGACGTGAGAAAGCTGTGCCCAGTAGAGCCGATAAGAATCCCCTTCATTGAGGTTTCAGACATCACTTGGATCAGATGACCTTTAAATTAAACGTGGCGAATTAGTCTGAGGTCAGGACGTAACTGTACACAGTACACATTTAGACTCTTGGCGGCAGGCGTCCAGATGGACCCAGAGCGAATGATTTTCCTTCGTCCCCCTCAGCCCAGGGTTTACTGATCTTTGCGGAGTTGATATCTGCGATTAAGAGGATGCTGGCTCGCCTCCTGGTGATCATTGTGAGCTTGGGATACGGCATTGTGAAGTAAGTACCGGGGCCCAGAAAAGACACCGTGTCCCCATCCTGTGATCCATCCATCTCCGCTATGACCCCTGTGAAACCCAACACCTCTCAGTGTCGTACCACAAATCCCAGAGGGAAATACCTGCAAGGACGTGTTTTTAAAAGATTTCCATGCACTGGCTATTTTATTCTTTTCTCAAATAAAGATCCTGAAGTTGAATTCCAGTAACTTCATAGTTAGATGAATAATCAACTATAAGGATTATGGAAAATTTTAAATGATTCTCGAAGTTCAGACCATTTTCTGTTTCCTAGACAACATAGTTAGGGGTCATGTTTGTGTATGAGCTATTGTAAGAGAGAGCGCTCTCATTAAACACCAGGTTCATCAGAATTTCTGGCTGAAACCTGGCAGTCGCCTGAGGACCCGCTTTCGGGACCCTCTCAAGCAGATCTTTTCTCCCTCTTACCTTTGAGTCCCTGGGCATGAACATGGAAGAGCCTGTTGCCTAAGACCCTCTGATTCCCAGAAACTCAAGCCCTCACACTGGACCACAGCTGCATCTTCGGGTTGCAGGCCTTGTCAGCTGCCAGGTTTCCCCTCATCCCTCACCGCTCTGAGCACTTGCTCTGTTGTCTTTCTCCTCAGCACTTCACTGTCAGGATTCCCTGTGATTTGAGTATCCGTGTGAGGATCCTTTAAGAAACCTGACCTCACCCCCTCACCTCTGCCACTCTTACCTGTCACTTCCCCTCAACTACTGAGCCCCCTGGCCGTTTTCTAGACTTGATTATTATCTATTTATTATTGTGTATAACTGCACGCTCTCCATGGTGGCACATTGAAGCAATCTACTCTTCAGCCTCCCCCGTTTCCTGTTTACTTTCTCTAATATGTCAGCTGTAGGCACTCTTGGTCCCTGGTGGGGCCTCCGGCCTATTGATCTCACCGCCTTCCACGGCCCGGCAGGGCACTGATGACCCCTGCCACCCCTGAGGCCCTCCGCCTTTCCCTTTGTCGGCCTCCCTCGATAAATCCAGCTCTCCATCTGCGCAGGCTCTGCCGGGGCTGCAGCGTCAGCCTGAGGAGAGCACCCCGCCCCACTGCCTGGCAGTTCACTCCATGACCCTGAACCTGAAGGGCGCCCTCAGTGCTGCTGGCACCTCTTGATCCCCGTGCCATTTGCGTTCGGACTCTCCGCTCTGCGGAAGACCATTTACCCCTTCTGTCTCCTCGCACCTCCCTACCCTCGTCCATCGTAGCTGATCTTGGCTCTTCTCTCACCGAGGAATTAGAAGCCATCAGAAGGGACTTGCGGCCGTCAGGTCTGTGTCATCCTCCCCACCTCTGGACCACACGCAGCCTGTTCTGCTCCTGTACGGCGTAGACCATCCCTGTGTGTGGTTAAGCCCCGCCCTGCCCTGGTGCCCTGGGTCCTGTTACCTCCTCTGTCAAAGAAGCTGTTCCAGCAGTCTGTCCTGTTTTCTCTGATAGCGTCAATTTCCCTCTCCGGTGGGCCATTCCCATCAGCACACTGTTACTTCTGTCATCTTCAGAAGCAAACCCTCCCTTGAACCCAGTTGGCCCTCTCCTCTGCTTCTCCTTCATTGCTTTTCCCCTGTGTGCAGCAGCATTTTTCAGATCTGTTGTCTGTACTTGGCCGCTTCCACTTCCCTCGTTTTCTGTCCTTGTGAGGTTTGGCCCCATTCCTCCACTGAGACTGCGCCTGTCAAGGTCACCTTGACCTCTCCTTGCCGAATCGCAGGGCCCCGCTCAGCCCCCGTGCAGGTGCCTGGTCGTGAAGCCTCCTTCAGGGTCTCCTGTGCTGGAGCCCCCTCGTCTTCCCGAGCTCCAGCGTTTGGGGGCCCTGGGCTCAGGCCCCAGACCTCTTCTCTAGTGACCGGCATCCCCGAGGCTTTCTCATCCAGTTCCGTGGCTCTGACTGATGAACGTGTCCAGAATGAGCCCATCCCGCCCCTCCAACAGCCACCACCCTGGTGCAGGCCACCATCTTCTCCTGCCGAGACTACACTCCAGTAGCCTCCAAACTGGTTTCCCCACTTCTGCCCTGGTCTCCTGTCAGTCTTTTCAAACACAGCAGCAGCCAAGATGATTCTCTTAAGACGTAACTCCAATTTCATTACTTTTCTGCTCATTTCACTCAGTGAAACCCAAATTCCATCTTGTGGCTTCTCCGATGGCTGACCTCATCTCCTGCCACTCTCCCTCCTGCTGCTTTTCTTGCTCTCACTGTTCCTTAAACCCAGCAGACACTTGTCTCACAGTGCAGGAAAGGCCTCTGCTTGTCAGCTTCCCCCCCGGATCCCAGGTGTGGTTTGCTCCCTCACTTCCTTTAGTTCTCTGCCTCACCATCACCCCCCAGGGAGGATGGCCCTTTGGGACCCTAATCAGTGCCCATCCTCCATCACTCCAGTCCCTCATGCCTTTTGATGTGTTTCTTAGCATTTATTGTCTCTTCCCCCCACTTGTGTGTGACTTCCCTGTATTGTGTCCTGCTGTATCCCAAGGCCCCGGTGGGCTGGGCGGCACACAGCGTGCACTCAGTAAGCGTGCACTAATGCACGCACGTGTGCTTCTGAGCTCCGGACTGGTGCAGTTACCAAGACTGTAGCGAGGAAACCTTCTTTTCGTTTGTTTTGCTTTCTTTTGTTTTTTGGCCTTAGTACAGTATATAGAACACAAAACCCTGTGGGTCCCAGTGGCAACTCACAGTTGTAGTCATGAGCATCGGGTGCCAGGGTGCAGAGGGTGGTGGCTGAGAAGGGATAGAAGATTGAGCTGGTGGGTGAGGGCTCAGCCCTTTTTGACTGAATCCCTTCACTGTCAACTTGTGTTCAACCCTTACAAAGCGGTAACAGTTCTGGCTGTTGCAGGGTTCCACTAAGCTGGCTGTAGTGAACCAGAATTTAGATGAACTAGGTTAGATAAATTGTCTGAAATATGAGCTATGGGTATTAGTTCAGTTTTTACTTAGATTTGTTTTAAAATTACTATCATAAGTATTTTTTTTTCAAAACCAGTTTTTTCTTCTAATTACTCTGAAAAGAGGGTTTTTGAGTTAAAACGTATTCACAATAAATTCTGACTTGCAAGTGTCATGAAATTTCAGTTCTTATTTTTTTTTTTTTTTGGCCACGCTGTGCGGCCTGAGGGACCTTAGTTCCCCCACCAGGGATTGAACTTGGGCCCACGGCAGTGAAAGCGCCGCGTCCTAACCATTGGACCACCAGGGAATTCTCGAAATTTCAGTTCTATTTTCAAATGACTAATCGCAAAAATCATCGTCTTTGCACGTTCTCAACTCATTTATACTTTCAAAGAATCAAAAGTGTTATTTTAATGCTTTTCAATCCGAAGAATGAAAGCTGAAGTCTTTCCGGACTGTCGTTTGGGAGTATTGAGAGGGGAAGGCAGTGGGATTCGATCTCCTGACATGCTGCTATTTCTCTGCCCAAGTCATAGAATCAGTGGATTATCGCTGACAAGACACATCTCAGAACACTTTACAATCTGTTAGTGAAAGAATTAAATGATTATTTCTGCCAGTGGCACTTAGAAGTTGGCACTTTCTTCCTAGGTTTCATCACTCTTCTCGTCCATTCTATAGACATAGTACCTGGGTTATGTTAATCATGTTGCTTGGATTTCAGCAGCAAGATCCTCTGGCCTCGAAATTGTTGCTTCATAGGCATCAGTACAGCTTCAAGTCCTAGAGAAGGAGGCCAGATTTCCCTGAGCCTGTTTCTGCCTTCTTCCCAGGAAACAATGCTGTTTCCCAAAACAGAGTACCTCCGAGGCGGGAAGGGACTGACGTGATTGGATAGTGACGTCCCTGGTGTTGGAAATGGGGCCAGTTACTGTAGTCGGATACATTTTACTTACCTTGCTTCTTCTTTCTGTTTTTTCTGTTTGCTCCTCCTTGTACCAGGCCTCGTCTAGGAACAGTCATGCACCGGGTCATCGGACTGGGGATCCTTTACTTTGTCTTTGCGGCTACTGAAGGCGTGATAAGAGTCATTGGGGTAAAAACTACATCATTCCACTTGCACTTTTTTTTGTCGTTGCTGTGAAATACGATTTTACTTTCTATCTCCTGAGATGAATTTTTAAAGATAGGAACTTTGTGATAAAGGCCCAGTTTGAGTTTATTTTCCCCCCTGTGGACTCTTTCCCTTTTTTAATACGTCCTGAAAGCATAAGGCTAAACAGAGCACTTTTTTAAATGATGTGGTTATGAAGGCACCACCTGACGTCATCCTATGAATTAGCTCCATCTCAAAAATGTTCGTGGTTGCTCTTCACGAAGAACATTCATCTTTGTCATTATGTAGTCTGAACACATTCATTTCTCCCTTAACCCTTGGCTTAAACGTGTAAGTGAAGAACAGTTAATTTTACCTTTTGTGCATACAGATATTATGTGTCATTGCTTTTTAAAGTCTCCTTTGGTTGTAAGTTTTCCCTGACTCTTGTGGGCTCAGAATTTGGGGGATTCAGTAGACTCCACGCTTGGAAAAACCAGGAGGAGGTAGTGTTCTGGGGAGAAACGGCTCTAGCAACATGGGCAGCAATGCTTTACTCTAGAGAAGAGCGAATATTTGTATCTGTGAAGACCCCTACATTTCTAGCTCTAGGTTTTCCTTAACAATATGGCTGACAACTGAGTGATTAAGAAGCTTATTATACTTTTACTTGATCCAGAGAACCTTGTAATTCTTACTCAGAACGTCTTTTGGATTAGATGTTTAAATCACATCACTGTGTGCAGAGTGAACAATCTGTATATTGCCGCACGCGTCTACTTCATGTAGGTTGATCTGACCCTTAAAGCAGGACGTTTGTCCAGTAATGTTAAAAGCTTCACTCTTCTTCTGGTGTCTTTGACACATCTGCATTCTGGGTTAGATGCACCTGCTCCTTGAAAGGTGCATTTATTTTTACTCTTACATAATAATGAAGAACTTTGCATTTACATGTATAATTCACAGAAAACTAATCTTTGCTAGAAAGAAAATGGAAAGGATAAACATCCCACGGATAGACTGCATTGTATTTCTTTAAAATTTTACACAGTCAGCATCTTAGATGTGACCGTTTTAAATATGATTCTCCGTCAGCTCTTGAGTATGCATCCAGCCTATGGTTTGTTTATACCCTTCCACACAGTTCCTTTTCCTTATTTTACTTTTTGCACGTCCTTTCACACACGTGGGGATGACGAGGAGTGCGTTTCTTTAGGAGCCGTGGCTGCAGGTTTGGTGCGGAGAGGGCAGAGATTGAAATGGTTGACCTGAGTTGGGTGGGATGCGCTGTGTTTTATTTGCCACTTTATAACACACTTTTACGTTATCACGGGACAAGTTGATGACAAACATTTGTTGACACCAAAACAGGTAACTTCCATGTGCTCAAACACAATTCTGTTAGGCAATAACATCTTTTATGTGGCCTTTTATAAAACAATGATATGAGATAAATTGTTTTTCTTCATCAGATGATAATTATAATACAATGAAACTTTTACATTCAGATTTTTTTCCCTATTTTTATTTTTCAGGGTTCTAACCATTTAGCTGTTGTGTTTGGTGACATTATTTTAGCCGTTATTGACTCCATTTTTGTATGGTTCATATCCTTTACTGTGTCCTAAAATTGTTGTATCATTAAAATCGGATTATTTTTAGTGTGTAATAATAATAGAAATATACTCATGCATTATTGTTACCTCAATATAGAAATTTAGTTGAAGGTGAAAAAGTAACGATTCCTCAAACAAAAAATATCCTTATTTTTTCTATTAGTTCAGCAAACTTAAATGCACATATTGAGCGATCTGGTAAGGAAGAAAAATACATAACTAGGAGCAACATAGCAATAGTAATTGCCACGTTAGAGAGGTGCTGTGCAGACAGAGGAAAGAGAAATTTACTCCAGGGTGAAAATCAGGAAAGATTTCAGGGAGATGGTGACATTTTAATTGAGACTGAGTGGACAAATCGGGGTTTACTAGGAAAAGAACTGAGGGGAAAGCATTCTGGGAAGATTTAAGGGGACCAAATAGTTGGAAGCATGAAAATATAGGGACAGTGGCACGATGTCTCAGAGTAGCTTGCCTGTAGGTAACGTGTGTAGGAGAATCATGGAAGGTGGGACCAGAAGGGAAGGATAGAATGACATGCTCGAGAGTTTAGAAGGTGGAAAGTAGCAAGGAGCTGAGGCTGCACAGGTGACTGACATGATGAAATCTTGTAAGAAAGAACTCAAGGATGGCATTTTAAAAAATGCCTGGGAAAGGAGAGTCTAGAGCTGGGAAGTCTAGTAAGGAGTCCTTTGCAGTGGGCCAAAGGAGGGATAGTGAGGGTTAGAAGTGGGGCAGAGGAAATGGAAGAAGGACTCTGGATGACAAGCTGGCTAGAAATGGGTGGGGAAAGGGAGAGAGGGCTCCCAGGAAGGCATGCATGTCTCAAGTAGGTGGCTGGACCAGTGTTGCCATTCTCAGGGTGGTAAACATGGATAAGGGACCACAGTGGGTGAGGGTTGAGCTGCCCGGGGCATTAGTGTGAAGAAGAGAGTTGGAAGTCCCAGCCTGGCTTAGCAAGAGGAGTCAGAGCTGGTGACAAAGGTGGGAGTCAGCTTTGTGTGGGAGAGGGTCGCAGCCGTGGAAATGACCCAAGAAGAACAGGTAGACCAGCAAGTGGAGAGGAACCAGGATAGTGCCTCGTGGGGCAGAAACATGCATGGACGGAAGTCCAGGGCGAAGGGAGGTGGGAGAACCAGGAAGTCGTCCTGGGGTGGAGGCTAGGAAAGCTTTGGTAAGGAGGGGTGCTCAGCAGTGGCTAGCGCTGCAGAGACATGAGTTCCCGAGGCGCACCTGTCTGCCTGGTTCATTCCAGGGGTCACGGCGGACAGCAAGAGAGTGGGTTCGCTGGAGGTGGTGGGCCAGAGGCCATAGCACAGCAGGAAAAGTTTCAGAGACAGTGTTAACCGATCCTTGAGGCTCCTCCTCGCTGACTGAGTGACTCCAGTGGAGTCTGGGCAATTCCACTGTTTTCCTCTCCTAGGCAGGACCCTCTAAAGTGCATTCGTGGAAATGGGAGGGATTCTAGAGAAACTACGACCTGGTCAGAGCAGAATGCTGGGTTCTGCGGATCCAGAACATTATCTGTATCTGTTTCGTTGACATTTATGTCCTCTTTGAAACTCATAAGCTTTTATTTTTACACAGTTCTTTTTGTTGCTATTTTTTTTTTTAATTTTTTTTTTGCTTTTTTTTTTTTTTAAAGAAGATGTTCGGGGTAGGAGTTTATTAATTTATTTATTTAGTTTTGCTGTGTTGGGGCTTCGTTTCTGTGCGAGGGCTTTCTCTAGTTGTGGCAAGCGGGGGCCACTGTTCATCGCGATGCGCGGGCCTCTCACTATCGCGGCCTCTCTTGTTGCGGAGCACAGGCTCCAGACGCGCAGGCTCAGTAGTTGTGGCTCACGGGCCTAGTTACTCCGCGGCATGTGGGATCCTCCCAGACCAGGGCTCGAACCCGTGTCCCCTGCATTAGCAGGCAGATTCACAACCACTGCGCCACCAGGGAAGCCCTGTCTTTTAGCTTTTAACGTAAAATGTGATTTTGTTTTCCTTGTGTTTCTTTCCATGTTCTCATCTTTGTCTCTCACAGGGAGGGCCGGAGGGCTTAAAATTGCCTGTGTCCCTTCTCTACAGGAAGCTGTCCCTTTCTGAAGGTGCGCTAACAGGTGTAACACTGTTAGTAGGATTTTCTGAGCTCCTTGTGGGTAAACCCGGTCTTATCTATTCTTTAAATTCCCCGTTTGTGAATTCTCGATATGCTTCCAAGTTAAAAACAAAACAAAAATCTTTTAATTTATTTTTATTCTCGAAAGCAGTGGTTCTTAGCCTTGTTTGGGTTCTGGCAGCAGAGATGCCTTTGCAAATCTGATGAAAGCTGTGGAGCCTCTTCACAGATTATATATAAACACACACTTCATTCACACGAGGAGTTCTTCCTACAGTGAGGCATTTGCAGACCTCCTAAATTACGTCCAAGCCCCTAGTATCCGAGGGGTGTCTAGTAAAGGGATAATACCTGATTTAAAGAGTTGTTTCGATCAACTTGCTTGAAAACTGGATTCTACTTCTGTTGAGAGCTACCAGTTGAGAATCCAAGTTTACTGAATAAAATTATAGTAATATAAATCTGATCTTCTCCGAGTTGTAAAAATTTCTGACTCTAATGTAATTTTTCATATTCTCTACTCTAAAAAAAACCATGTAGAGTCATTCAGTTGTTCAAAAGGTGAAGTCCGTTCCTCAGTTCTGCAGGTGAGCAGGGTTCCAGCTCTGAGTACTCATCCCCAGTGTGGAGCCCGCTCTGCCGAAGCCCCGGCTTCATTGCTTGTCAGGGATTCTCACCTGACTTGAGGATAAGGGGCAGGCAGTGCGAACATCCTGGGACCTGGACAGGCAGAATTGCAGGGGAGGTGAACTAGCTACTGGGCTCAGCGTTACTGTCTCTAATCTTCATGTCTTCTCTTCTGTCATTGTGAGTTTAGAAAATGAGCTTAAGACATCTCTTCATTTTGGAGTTGTCTTATTTCTAAACTTGTATATGCTTAGAGCCTTGTAAACTTTGCATTTAAAAAATCTGTATTATCTTTTCTCCTGGTAATTTACAGATATGTATTTCAAAGTATTCTTGTTCTTAATCATCTCCAAGGTGGTACATTGGTTCATTGGGAAAAATACATAGTAATGCAACTTGGCAGAAAATTCCAGAGGAAAGTGGCTGTAAACGCTCTAATTCCATCTGGATTTGAATGAGGGTAACTTACCACCTTTATGGACAGCAGTGGCTTTGGTCCAACACATAATGAGCCAGATTGGGATGGGGAGATAAGGAAAATAAGGGGAAAGATTTAGCTTGCTTAATTAATAATGTTTTTAATAAACATGTTTGAGGTAAAAGTCATAAAGAAATCCAGAAATTAAAGTTCTCTTGGTTAGTATTTCATGGTGAGAGAAAGGAAATTTAGCATCATCCATTTCTGCCTCAACCTGAATTTCTGACGTTTGCTTTTAGATTGCCGTTTGGTAATTTTCATTACTGAGATGAAAAGTCTGCTTTCTCTGTACAAAAAGGTAGTGGATTTCCTAAATGATTACCAATGACAAGCAAAGAAGCAGGACTACGTCCTTATAGAATTGAGTGCTGGAATAATGACCCTGCTTCCTTCACCTTTGGTGAACCTCATCTAGCTCCTCCTGTAAGAATCTAATTCTACATTAATAGAAAAAAATAGCCTGAGAGCGTCCAAAGCCACAGCCTTCTGCCTCTTTTCTCCTGCTTGTTTGATTCTTTTGCTGTTTTGCTGCAGGCAAATGATTCTGATCTTGTGCTCCTGGCCAGCCTCCCTCTGTCTCTTCTTGACTCTAGCTTGTGCTGGTGGATATCCTTTTCCTAGCGCAGCAGCACGTTCAAGGTGCTTCTCTTGTCAGGATGGTGGGGCCTGTGTGCTTTCACTACTGCTTCAGAAGTATTCGGTCTTGATCATGTTTATTGAATAAAGCATATTTGCATGTCTGTAAATTCTGACAGTAGGCCTAATTGGTTGAGTTGTGCTATTTTAGAAATTGATCTTCTGTTGAAACTTATTGGTCATTCAGAAAGATTGAAAAGCAGCTTTGGTAGTTTTAGTACTAAAGTGAAGGTTTTTGATGAGTGAAGTATTTGGAATTTAAATAGGAGGCCTAAGTGCAAACTGTGCCACTCCCATTCCTTTGCTCAACTCTGTTATGTATGTTCGGAGTGTGGTCCCTGAACGGGGCTTGGCAGGTGCTGCAGAGGAAGTAGCTCCCGTTTACAGAGCTCTGGCTTGAGCACAGCTGCACTACTGAGGAGCCAGTGGACAAGCCTCTTTCAGCTTCTTTGTACCTGACAGTGTCGCACTTTACCTGAGCCCTGTGCTCCTGGAACAGCCGTGGTTAAGACAGCCTCCACCCTTTTGTGTTCCGGGAAAAGGCTTACTGTCAATACAGACAGGTGCCTTTCCCCATAGGACTTCGAGGAGACTCCCAGGTGCCCCCATGTTCACTTGTGACAGGGCCAGACACAGACCTATGTACCCACTGACCAATCCGGACAAAATACCAGACTGAACCAAACTAAGCCTTCTCCTTCCCCCGGGTTCCCGAGCTTTCATCCACCCGCAGCCCTCCTTCATGGCCCCTCCTGAAAACCTGCAGACTTCAAGGAAAGTCATTCTCTGAGCAACTGTCCCGTCAGGCCCCACCCACCTCTCACACCTGCTGCTCTCGACACCTGTTTACTCCTCCCTATAAAAGCAAAGCCCTTCCCTGCCTGACCTTTGGGACTCTCTCGGATCTTGTAGTCGGAACATTCTCCCTACTGCAATAATCTCTTCAATAAAGTCTCTTTTTACCTAAGTCCAGATTTGTGTTACTTGACATATTTCAGTTTCAATTTATAAAATGGAATTGGCAGATGACGTAACTTCTTAATTATGGTCATTCGGAGGATAAAATGAGAATAGACCAGAAACAACAAAACAAGAAAGAAACAGACAGAAAAGCACATGCCAAATGGCATGTCATGATGGGATCTGTAAAGAGTGTCTGGCCTAAGGGGGACTTGGCGTTTAGTGTGTGTCCTGCTCTGTTCTCTGTTTCAAGAACTTGGCATTGAAGGAGCACGTCATAGGTCTTCTTGCTTATGTTTTTTTTCCTTGAAGTGTGTTTACTTAGTTCAGACAGTGGTATATTGTAAAACAATATCTGTGATGAAATTGGTATCATGATTATACAGTATTGGATAAGACAACATTTTCTGTGTGTTTATTAGTTTTAAATGATAGGAGTTATATATAGCAGTGCTAATTTTGGAAATGTAGCAGAAGATTCTTATTTTGTTTTTTATCTTAACTGTATATTACTATTTAAATTTTTTTCCTTAACTTTTTTCACATTTTTATAAGTTTGGCACAAACTATGAAGACTCTAAGGCTAAGAAAGAACACAGTGAAATTTTCTTTGTACAGGCACTTTACAAATACCCTGATCTTTGCCATACTGGGTAAGCTATCTAACTTTTCTTTTAAAATACATTATTTTAGTATTGCATATTCTTTCACTGATTGACTTTTTTTGGTGTGTTTCAGCATCTGTAGTGTTTATGGTGTGGACAACGAAGACATTTAGAATTGCAAAATGTCAATCAGTAAGTATAATCTTCCTATTTAAACAGTTTTCATTTTTAATTATTCTATTTTATTTTGTGTAAGTTTGAAGAATTTTGTGTTTGTAGACAGGTAATTTTAGTGGAGATTTTCTTTACTTGGAATTATTTTGTATAGAATTATAAAAACATTTGCCTTCTTTAAATGTCTGAAAAAGTTCCTCTTAAATCTCCTTTTCCAATTATGCCCTTTTCTCAACTTCTTTTTGTGTATTTTGAAAAGGAATCCTCCCCCTGTATAATTTTAGGTAACAGGAAATCTTTTTCTTCCAGCACACAGTGTAATTGGATTGTTTTGTACTTAGGACTGTAAACCTTAAGCCTGACATGTTTCTAGGATGGTATCCTCATTATGAACATTCAGGAGATACCCTCCATGGATTCTCTAGTTAGAAGAAGATACATTTCTCAGACTTAAAATAATAAAAGACCCTCTTGGGGGTTTCTTGATTTGGAAATAGTCTCTAGTTCTATATAAATAATTATAAAGAGCCCTCTGAAAACCCTGGACTTCTGCTGCTGTAGGGATAAGTTAGTGAGAGAAGAAACTGTTCTTGTCTAGAAAATAACTGACCTCTGAAGCCCTTTTAAACTCTAATTCTTTTTTTTTTTAATTAATTTATTTATTTTTGGCTGTGTTGGGTCTTCGTTGCTGTGTGAGGACTTTCTCTAGTTGCGGCGAGCGGGGGCTACTCTTCATTGTGGTGCATGGGCTTCTCATTGCGGTGGCTTCTCCTGTTGCGGAGCCCGGGCTCTAGGTGCGCGGGCTTCAGTAGTTGTGGCACATGGGCTCAGTAGTTGTGGCTCACGGGCTTTAGAGTGCAGGCTCAGTAGTTGTGGCGCACAGGCTTAGTTGCTCCGTGGCATGTGGGGTCTTCCTGGACCAGGGCTTGAACCTGTGTCCCCTGCGTTGGCAGGCAGATTCTTAACCACTGCGCCAACAGGGAGGTCCCTCTAATTCTTTTTACGATACTATATAATTTGTTAGGATTTTATTCATTATATTGGTTATAAGGCTGAAGTAAGCATTAATATTACTGAAGTAAGCATAATGATTTTATAGAGATAGCATTTCTTAGTTTTTATGTTTCTCGGAAAAACGTGTGCTTATTCATTTGGAAGACTTACTGGTTGGAAAGATTTCATTAGTACTTGTCATTATGTGCTATTTGAATGGGAAATCTGTATGTTTATCAGAAAATTAACTTTTCTTGTTTGAATTGTCCTTATTATAGGATTGGATGGAACGCTGGGTTGATGATGCGTTTTGGAGCTTCCTTTTTTCCCTTATCCTTATTGTAATAATGTTTTTGTGGAGACCATCAGCAAATAATCAGAGGTACCTAACATAGGGAAGGTCAGATTTGGCAAGGGTTTGTTCGTCATCTGCTACAATGTTAAAAGAGCATTTGTAGAGACTGGGGAGGCGGTCCTTGCTGTTAAAGAGTGTACATACAGCCAAGTGGGGAGACAAATGTAACAAACGCAGGACAGTGAAACAAGAGGTCTATAAGCCCAGCAGGAAGGTGGGAGGGGTCCATGAAAAGGCAGCATTTATGTTACACCTTCAGGAAAGGAGTAGGACAGTGAATGGCTGACCTGCGAAAGAGTGCAGGTTTTCTAGGGGTAGCGGGAACAGACATGGCATACTTTGGAGGCCAACAAGCCATACAGTTTGGTTACTACCCTTACACTGGCGGGTCATAAAGCTGGAAAGGAAAAGTGGGAGCAAGATCGTAAAGAGCTTGAATGCGAAATTCAGAAACTTGTACTTTACACTACATGTGACAGGAAGCCCCACAGCTTCCCTTGCCTCATTCCTCTTCCCCAAGCAAAGCACTGTGAAGTTTCTTCCTTCTAGGAAAAAATGAAAAAGTATATACTAGTGTGTGTGTTTCTCTCTCTCTTTAAAATTATACAACAACATGCAAATCAACTATACTTCAATAGAAAAGTTTTTGATTAAAAACAGATTTAAATATTATACAACAACAATGATAGTACATACATACATATATACCCTATTCTGCACTTTCTTTGTTTAAAATGTGTCTTTCCTTATCATCTTGTATAGACCTACCATATTACTTTTAATAGCTTTCTGGCATTCCATATGATTGTAGCATAATTTATATAAGCAGTCCCTAATTATTAGACACTTAGTTTCTAGTTTTTTTGCTATTATCAGCAATGGTTTTTTTTTTTTTTTAAATCAGCAATGCTTTTTGAATGCTCTTGGACCTAGTGAATGTGGCTTGATTGGTGTGCTTTATTTTCACCAATCAGGTTAGGAATTTCTTTTCGTTAGGAGATAAGTAAAAATAGTGGGCAGGGAGGTAAACCTGACATGGAGAAAAAAGTACAGCAGAAAATTCCCTTCCCTGAGCATTCGATATTTCAAAGTTGCTTCCAGAGAAATTTGATCCGTTGATGCTTTTACCAACGGGTTTGGGAACCCCAGTTTCAGTTTCTTCACAGTAACCTTTGCTGATTTGAGAGTAAAATAATTAAATTTTTATCATTTCAATTTATGGGAAACTTTTTAAGTGTATATATTTTTTAAAGTGTGTACTGACTCTTTTAGATGTAAACTGAATGTTGAACAGGTTTAAACACACTAGTAAAACTACTCCTTGTTTTTGATTTAGATATGCCTTCATGCCCTTAATAGATGATTCTGATGATGAAATTGAAGAATTCATGGTAACATCTGAAAATTTAAGTGAGTGGCATATTTTCTTATTAAATGACCATTGCATATATTGTAACAAAGAAATATTGTACCTCTACCTGTGATGCAAGGTCAGATACACTTTTTTTCCTGTAAAATATTTTTAAAACTGTATCTGCAGAAACCTCTATTATGGTAGACAGTCACAGAAGAGAAGTCAGTAATGAAATTTTCAAGATTGCTAAAATAGTTTGAGCTTTTGTTATATGTTTGCTCTTAAAGTCTAAGTATTGAAATAGCTGCACTGTTTCCCACAAGAGTGATTTGGTATATATTGTGCTTAGCTCCTAAACAATATTCGTCTTCTTAATGATGATTGCTAAATTTCTTTGTATCACCTCTCCTTGCTCTTGAAAATTGTGGACATCTGTAATTTCCCGGTCATGCCCAAAGCATTTCTAATTATGGTTTTAGTGCTTTAGTTTTCATCTTTCTATTAATTTATACATAAGTGTCTTATCATTTTATTAATTTTACCAAAACACTGTAATTAAAGCATTTGTTACGGCAACATTAGTATGTAACTCAGATGTAAAGAGTAATTTTATCTTTATTCCATTCTTCCTTCCTCTTACTTTGGTTTCTCTTATTAGTAACATTCTTTTTCACAATTTTTTTTTGTTTCTGTACTGTGAAAATTTTATAATCTACCCAGTCAGCAAAATTTGCAACATAATCAGTGTGTCTTCAGTGTCCACACTTCCTTTTACCTCCTCTCATCAGATTATCACCTACAACTAATTCTTTCATGTTTTTCTGACTTTTCTGTTAAGAAAAGAAATCTGCAAAACTTATTCACAGCAGAGATATTAAAATTCAGTATGTTAGTTCTGGCTCCAATAATGATGGAATGAATTGCTTGGGGCTAATCTTCCTGCTGATAGCTAGAATAAACTCTGGACAGATTTTTTTTTTTTTTTAATTAACTATTGGAGGCACTGGAGAGCAAAGAAAAGCAGGCAGAAACTGGAGGAGATTTCACTGTTGAAAGAAGAGAACCATGAAAGAAGAGTTCATGCCCAGTCAATGAGACAGTACAGTGGCTAGAGCACAAGCAGACAGGTATAATCTTACTGATGCAAGGAATTGGAGAGTGAAATTTGGGGCTGTAAGAATGTCTGGAGATTGATGGAAGAAATCCAGAAAAGAGAGAGCCACAAAGGGGGAAATTCAAAAGTCTATAAAGTCTCTCTAGTCTTATCTGATACCTGAACTGGGTATGTGCAAAGTGAGACTCCAAGAAGCCAGGGGGCAAACAATAGCTATTAGGCTAAGAAGCGGAACAGAAATTTCAGCAGCTGCCACAGCAGAGTTTGAAATTCAAATCTCAACAAGTTAAAAGTGCTTTCCATTAAAACCCCAGAAGGGCCACTCCTTAGAAGTAAAGACCACAGTCTGGGACCACTGAAATTTACCCTAGGACTAAAGCTAAACTGAAATAAACCCTAATCAAATCTAAAAGCATATCCCCAAAAGATCAGAGTGATCTAGCAATAATTTGAATTGCCTGCTAGAACAAAACACAACACTTCCCAGAGGAAGATAAGAGAATCCAGTCTATAAGATACCATTCTCAATGTCCAGTATGCAATGATAAATTACTAGACATAGGATGAAACTGGAAGCCGTGATCCATAGTTGAGGGAAAAATCAGTAAGATCAATCTAGAGGTGGCCCAGATGTCACAGTTAGAGTTGAATAAAACCATCGACCTACTTGACTTGATTGGTATTTGTAGAACATTGCATTTAGCAACCAAAGAATAAAGGTTCAAGTCTACGTTGAATACGATAGACCATATGTGTGGCCATTAAAAATGTCTCCATATATTTCAATGGATTGTAATCATACAGAGTATGTTTCTGATCACAATGGTTAAATTAGATGCACAGCAGTAAGATATCTACAAAATAATCAGATGTTTAGAAATTAAGCAATAATTTCTAAGTAACTCGTGGATTGAACGAATATCAGAAAATATTTCATGCTAATGATAATAAAAGCATAACATGTCACATTTTACAGGATGCAGCTAAACCAATTCTTAGAGGAAAATTAATAGCTTTAAATGCCTATATTACCAAGAAAACATATTGATAATATGTTTACATCTTGAGAAGCTAGAAAAAGAATGGCAAATTAAACCTGGGGTAATTAGAAGGAAGGATATAATAAAGTTGTGTCTACACCAATGAAATCGAAAACAGGGGGAAATAGAGAAAATCAGCAAAGCCAAAAGTAGTTTCTTTGAAAAGATTAATAAAATTGATTAACCTCTAGGTAATCTAAACCAGAAATAAAATATAGCAAGGCAAATTTCCAACATTGGAAAGATAGGGCGGACATTACTACAGCAAGAAAGGGTAAGTAAGAGGTTATTATGAACAAATTGGGCATTTGGATAAAATGAACAAATTCCTTGAGAAATACACTTAAGAAACTACCCTAATCTTAATTCTAACCCTATGCCACTAATTGGAATAGCCATATATTTATTAAAGAAATTGGGTTTGAAATTTTAAATCTTCCCATAGAGTTCCACACCCAAATGGCTGGCTTCACTAGTGAATGCTTTCAAATACCTAAGGAAGAAATATTCTAATCTTATGCACCTCTTTAGAATATAGAGGAGGTGACAGAATGGGAGAAAATATTTACAAATGAAGCAACTGACAAAGGATTAATCTCCAAAATTTACAAGCAGCTCATGCAGCTCAATATCAAAACAACAAACAACCCAATCCAAAAACGGGCAGAAGACCTAAATAGACATTTCTTCAGAGAAGATATACAGGTTGCCAATAAACACATGAAAGGATGCTGAACATCACTAATCATTAGAGAAATGCAGATCAAAACTACAATGAGATATCATCTCACACCAGTCAGAATGGCCATGATCAAAAAATCTACAAACAATAAATGCTGGAGAGGGTGTGGAGAAAAGGGAACCCTCTTGCACTGTTGTTGGGAATGTAAATTGATACAGCCACTGTGGAGAACAGTATGGAGTTTCCTTAAAAAACTAAAACTAGAACTACCATACGACCCTGCAATCCCACTACTGGGCATATACCCTGAGAAAACCATAATTCAAAAAGAGTCATGTACCAAAATGTTCATTGCAGCTCTGTTTACAATAGCCAGGACTTGGAACCAGCCTAAGTGTCCATCAACAGATGAATGGATAAAGAAGGTGTGGCACATATATACAATGGAATATTACTCAGCCATAAAAAGAAACGAAACAGTTATTTGTAGTGAGGTGGATGGACCTAGAGTCTGTCATACAGAGCGAAGTAAGTCAGAAAGAGAAAAACGAATACTGTATGCTAACACATATATATGGAATCTAAAAAAAAAAAATGTCATGAAGAACCTAGGGGCAAGACGGGAATAAGGCACAGACCTACTAGAGAATGGACTTGAGGATACGGGGAGGGGGAAGGGTAAGCTGGGACAAGGTGAGAGAGTGGCATGGACATATATACACTACCAAACGTAGAATAGATAGCTAGTGGGAAGCAGCCGCCTAGCACAGGGAGATCAGCTAGGTGCTTTGTGACCACCTAGAGGGCTGCGTTAGGGAGCGTGGGAGGGAGGGAGACGCAAGAGGGAAGAGATATGGGGACATATGTATATGTATAGCTGATTCACTTTGTTATAAAGCAGAAACTAACACACCATTGTAAAGTAATTATACTCCAATGAAGATGTTAAAAAAAAAAAAGAATATAGAGGAGGTAGGGATACTTCCCAACTTGTTTTATAAGGCCAGCACAGCTCAGATACCAAAATCTGACAAAGACAAAAAAAAGGAAAGTTACAGACCAGTATCACTCATGAGTAGAGACATAAAATTCATTTAAACGGACTTCCCTGGCAGTCCAGTGGTTAAGACTCTGTGCTTCCACTGCAGGGGGCACAGGTTCGATCCCTGGTCAGGGAACTAAGATCCCACATACCACTCTTATTTTATTTTATTTTTAGTAAATAAAATCTAGAAGAATAATGAAGGACCATCATTGTCAAGTGGACTTTATCCCAGGGCTGCAAGGCTGTTTCAACATTTGAAAATCAGTGTAATTCATCTAAAGAGTAAGGAAGAAAAATGACATAATTATCTCAGTAGGTGCAGAAAGACACATCACAGAATTCACCTATTCATGACTTTTTAAAAAAGAAACCCACTTAGCAAACAAATTACAGAATAGTATGAAAAAACTCTACAGCTAAAATCATACTTAATGGTGAAACAGTGAATACTTTCCTCCCAAGATTGGGAACGAAGTACACGAATATCTGCTCACCACTTTAACTCAGCATCAGACAGCAGTTCCTAGCCAGTGCAGAAAGGCAAAACACAAACCAACCCAAAGAATACAAAAGGCATAAAGTGTGGAAAGCAAGAAGTAAACCTGTCTTTATTTACAAACAGCAAGGTTTTGTTTTGTTTTGGCTGTGCCGCGCGGCTTGTGGGGTTAGTTCCCCGACCAGGGATTGAACCCACGCCCTCTGCAGTGAAAGCACGGAGTCCTAACCACTGGAGTGCCAGGTAATTCCTCAGCAACGTTAAGTATGTAGAAAGTCCTAAGGAGTCTATAGAAAAGAAAAAATACAGTAGAACTAATAAGTGAATAATATAACAGAATCATAGGATATATGTCCAAATACAGAAATTAGATTTTTTTATATAACTGGAAATAATTGAAAAATGAAATTTAAAATACTGTTTACAGGAGCTTCAAAAAATAAAATATTTAGGAATAAATTTAATGGAAAATAATGTGGAAAACTGCACTGAAGAATACAAAACAATGCCAAGAGAAATTATAGAATAAGTAAATGTTTATGAATTGTAACTCTCAATATTATTAAGCCATCACTTCCTCAATTGATATGTAGATCCAGTACAGTCCCAATTGTAATTCTGGCTGATTTTTTAAAAAATGGTTAAGCTGATTTTAAAATATGTATGGAAATACAAAAGACCTGGAAGAACCTAAACATTCTTGTAGTTACAACATAGATCTTGAAAACACTATACTAAGTGAAAGAAGCCAATTACAATAGATCGTATGTTATATGATTCCATTTATATGAAAAGTCCAGAAAAGGTAAATGCATGGAGATAGAAAATAGATTAGTGGCTGCCAGGGGCTGGTGGAAGGAGTGAGTTGGGAGTAACTGCTAATAGGTATGAGGTTTTCGCGGGGGTGGGGGTGATGAAAAGCTTCTGAAATGAACAGTGATGATGATTGCACAATTCTGTGACTGTTCTAAAATCCACTGAATTGTACACTTCAAAATGGTGCATTTTATGGTGTGGAAGTTATATCTAAATAAAATTAAATTAATGGACTTAACACTGATTTCAAGACGAAAATTTCAAGTTATACTAATCAAGACAGTGTGGTATTGGCATAAGGATACATACATCAGTGTATCAAAATAGAGTCCCAAACATAAATAAATAAAATAAAATAATGAAATTTCAGACAACTAAAAAAAAATAGTCCAAAAATAAATCTGCACATATTGTTCAGTGGATTTTGTTGTTGTTGCTTCAGATTATTTTATCAATGCAATAACACTTTAAAGAATGTACTCTTACTAGCACCAGATTGATTCCAATGTAATAGGAGGTCTCTAAAGCTTTTGTTTTTAAAAGAGATATAATATTTAAATTTGCTCCAAATTGGAAACCTCATTTGTCAATTGATTTTTGACAAAGGCAGCAAGGCTTTATATGAGGAAAAGATATTATTTTCAAGAAAGAGTGCGGAACAACTAGATAAACACATGGGGGGGAAATCACCTAGACTCCTGCCGTGTATATCACTTATAATGAATTCAAGAGAGATCACAGACCTAGATGTAAAAGATTAAACGATAACTCTTCTAGCAGAAAACAGGAAGCTATCTTCATGACCTTGGGTTAGGCAGTTTCTTAGGACACAAAAAGCAGTTACCGTAAAATAAAAAGGTTGGTAAATTAGCCATCACCAAAGTTACAAACTTATGTTCATCAAGAGAAACAAGAAAGTGAAAAGGCCAGCCCTAGTCTGGGATGAAACCTTCTCAATACATATATCTGACAAAGAACTTGTATCCAGAATATAAGAATTCCTACAAATCAATAAAAGATAACTCAATTTGTTAAAAAAAAAAAATGGAATACTTAAATAGACACTTCACCAAAGAAGACAAAGGAAAGGCCAGTACGCACATGAAAAGGTGCTCGATAATACTGGTCGTCAGGGAAACGCAAATTAAAACCAGAGTGAAATGCTACCATGTATTCACTAGCATGGTTAAAATTTAAAAGACTGGCAGCATGAAACGCTGAAGAGGATGTAGAACAGCTGCATCGCTCATACATTACGGAAGAAGTCGTAAGAAGTTTTAAGAAAGCAGTTTGACAGTATCTTAAAAAGTTAAACATACACCTACCATATAGCCCAGCCATTCCACTCCAAAGTATTTATCCAAAAATGAAAATGAAAGCAGATGTCCACAGAAAGACACTGTGTACACTTTCATAGCAGCTTGATCCTTAATGGTCCAAAACTGAAATAGCCCAAATGTCTGTCAACAGATGAATGGATAAAATAATAGTGGTATACTTATACAATGGAATACTGTTTGGGAAGCAAAAGTAATCAACACTATACAACATGAATAAATCTCAAAACCTTTATGTTGAGTGAAAGTAGTCAAATCCAATGAATATTGAGTCCTTATGGTTTTATATAAGAAGTTCTAGAGCAGGCAGGAGTAAACTGTGGTGATTATGTAAATCAAAGCAATAGTTGCTTCTGGTGGGGTTGGGATTGACCAGAAAGTAATTTAAAGAGCCCTCTGTGGGGACTTCCCTGGTGGCACAGTGGTTAAGACTCTGCACTCCCAATGCAGGGGGCCTGGGTTCCATCCCTGGTCAGGGAACTAGATCCCACATGCATGCCGCAAGTAAGAGTTTGTATACCACAACTAAGACCCAAATAAATAAAGAAAGAAATAAAATATTAAATGAAAAAAAAGAATCCTCTGTGATGATAAAAATGTTAAATGTCTTGATTGGTATGGTAGTTACACAAGAGTTGATAAAAATCTCTTCAGACTGTACACTTAAGAGTTTGTATTTTATTTTGTATATTATACTTCAGTTAAAAAAAATCAGTGTATTACACCTTTAAGAGAAGGATCTCAAATGTTGAGATTTCAGACGCCCCATGGAAACATTTTCAGATTGAGGAACCTCATTTTCACTCATTATATCCACTTATGCACTTGATCTCATCATAATGTACCAACTGTCCTAGTTTATGGAGAAGCACTTTTTGCAAATTGTTGTAGTAACAAAAGTGAATACTTATTGGACATAGACATTATGTTTCAGGTACCTTATATACGCTAATTTGTTTAATGCTCATCAGAATTCTCTGAGGTAGACATTATTATTATTCCATTTTACAGGCAGGGACATTGAGTCACAGAAAGTTGATTGCTTAGCCTGAGGTTACATAGATAGAGCCAGAATTCCAAGTGAAGCCATCTAGTTTCAGGACTCATGCTCTTAACCTCTCCTCTGCTAAACCTGCTGGCATAAAGAAGAGCCTTGGTCAAATATAAAGAAAATCTTTTTCTTCCCTATTTTATTTATACCATAAACACATTCTAAAAATTTATACATTAGAGAAGTGAAAGCATGGCCAAAGGTGTGTTTTATTCTTAAATATATCGTAAATCCTGTAGATTTTTAAATCCATGAACTTTAAAATGTACTGAAACTACCTAATGTGTGCATGTTATGTATGTTTGCTTGTTTATTTAAACTCCTCTAAAACTGGAATTCAGACTAGCAACTTGAGAACCTGGTTGTTTTTGTAAACAGTATGATGTTTTTAACTTTTTCTGTCCCTCCTACATTCCCAAATGGTATATTAAAGCCAGCACCCAGCCCAAAGCTTCCACTATTAACTCTCTTTATAGGGTTATTGAATGTGAAGCTACAAAGGAAAATATTATAATTTTATGAATTTCTATAATGTTTCTCATTACAGCTGAAGGAATAAAATTAAGAATCTCAAAAACGGTTTCCAATGGAACAGCTAAACCTGCTACTTCTGATAATTTTGTGAGTATAGTATATATTTAATAGCGTCTCAGTCTTTAATACTTTAGAAATCTATATGAGTGTCACATTCATTGACCTTCAGGAGAACACTTTTTTACTAGGTTTTTTTGTATGAAAATAAATGTTACTAAGTAGTGATACTAGTTAAGTCTGACAACTGTACTGCTGTAAACCCTCACTTTTCATGTGCCGTCATTGGACCAGCGGCACAAACCTCACCTGGGAACTTGTTAGAAACACAGAATTTCAGGCCTACACCAGATGTACCGAATCTAAATCTGCTTTTTAACAGAATTCCATAGATGATTCACATGCACATTAAAGGTTGAGAAGCTTTGTTATAGTGAAAGTTTGTGCTAATTTTTCAGCACTTTTATGTGATTTTTGAAGCTATTTCAGATAACATTTGTTGTCTATTGGAAAGGGACTTTTAAACCATGTAAACTTGAATAAAACGTTAAATTATTGGGTAGAGATGAGTTTTTAAATATTTTATGCATATTATTTATGCATAAAAGTGGTAATTATGAGAGTAATTAAACAAAATGGAAATGCCTATCATACAGTTTTATATTTGGCTTTCTTACAGTTACATATGTTGTGGTTAATAAGGTGTAAAAATTTACGTACGCACCTAAGTTCTGACAGGATGGATGGTGTATGAAACAGTTTCATTTGTTGGATTTGGTAAATTCTCTAATCCTTATTTTTGGTAATTAATAATTCTTTAAAATGTGTTATTTGAGTAGTTTTATGGTAATTTAACTATAAAAAGCTCCACAGTTTTAATTATCTGGTGTTAGAACTATTAAACTTTCAGCTTGCTAAGAGATTTTCCTCTTATTTTAGGGATATGTTTCAGTTTATTTTAAAGCTCAGTATTTGCACACATAGCAAGGGAAAATGTTTTCATTTCTCTAAATTGCGTAGTCAGCTCTTTTTTTTTTTTTTTGGCGGTACGCGGGCCTCTCCCGTTGCGGAGCACAGGCTCCAGACGCACAGGCTCAGCGGCCATGGCTCACCGGCCTAGCCACTCCGCGGCATGTGGGTTCTTCCCAGACCGGGGCACGAACCCATGTCCCCTGCATCGGCAGGCGGACTCTCAACCACTGTGCCACCGGGAAGCCCAGCTCTTATTTTTTTTAGATAATTATTTTATTTTTAATTAATTAATTTAATTATTTTGGGCTGCGTTGGGTCTTCGTTGCCGCGCGCGGGCTTTCTCTAGTTGTGGTGAGCGGGGGCTACTCTTCATTGTGGTGCACGGGCTTCTCATTGCAGTGACTTCTCTTGTTGCAGAGCATGGGCTCTAGGCATGCGGGCTTCAGGAGTTGTGGCACGTGGGCTCAGTAGTTGTGGCTCATGGGCCCTAGAGCACAGGCTCTGTAGTTGTGGCTCACGGGCTTAGTTGATCTGCGGCATGTGGGATCTTCCTGGACCAGGGCTCAAACCCGTGTCCCCTGCATTGGCAGGCGGATTCTTAACCACTGTGCCACCAGGGAAGTCCCGTGTAGTCAGCTCTTGATCAGAACTCGGGGACCTTGTCTCTCCTTGATTGACTCATTTCTACCCAAGATTCACTCAGAGAATTGGGGTGCCTATTAGTACTGGCTCAGTTGCTTTCTCTCTCTCTGTAAGTAAGCAAGATATAATTAATGCTAGAACCAGAGGATTCCATGTAGCCATTTTGATTTATTTTATATTATAAACCAAAATATTCAACATACCTTTTATTTTTCTTACTCCCAGTGAGATAAGTAAGCAAGTTTCTGTTGAAAAAAATATTTAGATACCCCAATTGACCTGCTTTTCTTTGCTCCTACAGAAACATGAGCACTAAACACAAGTGACTGAAATAAATAGGCTTTTGTGAAGTTAGAATATCTGTGCCGTCATCTTTTTCTGCTGAAAAGTTATAAACTCATAAAGTGAGCAGATTAGGAAGCATACTGAATGCTGGAGGCAAGAAATTCATACAGATCAATATTCATGCTGTTTTCTATCTTACAAACCAACTCTTCGTGTTTTTACTGTGGTTTTTCAAGACAAACAAATAACACCTGTGCATCTAACCAAAACCAGAGAAGTACAAAAACCCAAAATCCAAGTGTTCGTTTGACTGTTTAAGAAAATACTGGCATAATTTTCGTGTGGCCTAAGTGTCAACTTCTTAGGCTATGTAGAAATTAAAAGAATGTCATGCATTTGAATTTAAATGCTTAAATTATATATACATTCTATTTAAAAATTCTGCTTTCAGGCACTATTAAGCAAAAGCTAATATGTAAATATTTATTTCTACAGGATGAAGATTTGAAGTGGGTGGAGGAAAACATTCCCTCTTCATTCACAGATGTGTAAATATCCTCTACTAAAGTTTGAATCTAAAATTTAGGCTGTAGTATAAAGGGATAATTTTCATGCTTTGTTATGTGCTTTTCAAAACTCTCACCTCTGTATGTTTTTATAGGCCCCCATCACTAGTGTATGACTGATTAACTTCATACCAAAATGCAAAGAAAACACAGCCCTGCCTTGGTCTGTCTTTCTCCTTCCTTTTTCACTGTACAACAACTCTATTAATACTCCTGCCCTATAACCAACTCCAACATTTTCTTACGTAAGTTTATCAGGATCAGAATCATTTTGTTTTAACTTTATAATATGGAAGAATTCAAACTTTTTTTTTTTAAACACGTGTAACCACGATACTATGTATGGTGGGGAAGCTTTTGGAGGAAAAAAAACATGAGCATAGGAAAACTAGAGTGCAGAGGAAGCCCCTCCGGGAACCTGGAGCTATTCAGGTTCTTCTTTATCAGTGTCCTTTATGACACACAAATTCCAGATAGCCGTTTCCACAGTAGACAACAGGATAGCCAAATATGATGTTTTCACATGTTGTTTGTTCCTTTCCCTGCTCCCATCTACTTCCTTTTCAGATAGTTTCTGTCTAGTATGATGTCACATTTGCCTGAAGAATTTCCTTTATGTTTCTGGTCATGCAAGTATGTTGGTAATAAGTCTGTCAGGTTTTATTTGTCTGAAAAAGTCTTTGTTTTGGCTGTTTGGGAAGCTGTTTTTGTGGGGTATAGAATTCCTAGTTGACTGTTTTTTTTTCAGCACTTCAAAGATTGTCACTTGAATGTTTTCCAGCTGTCATAGTTTTAGAAAGAAGTCTGCTGTACTTCTTCTCTGTTCCTTCATATGTTACCTGGGTTTTGTTCTGTTTTGTTTTTGGCTGCCTTCAGGACTGTCTCCTTCTCTTGGGTTTTTCTTTTCTCTTGGGTATATACCTAGAAGTGGAATTGCTAGATCGTACGGTAACTGTATGTTGAACATCTTGAGGAAGTGCCAAGCGGTTTTCCCAGAGCCGAACCATTTTATAATCCTATCAATAATGTATGAGATTTCCGATTTCTCCACATCCTTGTCAGCACTTGTAATTGTTCACCTTTTTGGTTTTAGATCTCTTAGTGGCTGTGAAGTGGTATCTCATTGTGCTTTTGAGTAACTGAAATTTGAACTATCTTGTTGAGGGACTGGTGTTGTATAATTAAACTGTGGTAACTGAAATTCACACATATCAGATTCATATGAGGTAAGAACTGCCTTTACATTATGAAACTAATAGTACACTATTATACTTTTTTTCTTTTAATAGTCATAAAAGGAAAATAGGTGTATAAATATCCTTCACATGCCTTTATGATTTCTTTTTTCCTCCCTGTATATCTGAGTTATCACCTTCTCCTGTAGGTCTTTCTTTAGTGTTTCTTACAGTATGGGTCTGCTAGAAACTAATTCTTCCAATTTTATTGATGTGAAGTGTATTTGTTTGCCCTCCTGTTCAAAGGATGGTTTTGCTGGATATAAAAATCTTGATTGACTTTTGTTTGAGCTCTTCCAACACATCCCTCCAATATCTTCTGGTTTCTATTGTTTTGAAGAGAAGTCAGTTTTTAGTTGTATTGTCCTCATGTGTGTACTGTGTCATTTATTTTTTGCCGCTTTTCAGATTTTTTTCTTTACGTTTGGCTTTCCACAGTGTGTGTATGATGTGCCTAGGTGTGGTTTCCTTTTTGAGTATCCTTGGAATTTGTTGAGCTACTTGGATTCATATCCCCACCCCCTTTGGTCATTTTCCAGTGCCTTTAACTACCTATTTTTAATGTTTTTGTCCAGGTTTTATAAATGTTTCTGTGGGAGGAATCATCTGATTTCTTTCCACCTTTACCTGCTATCTTCCATTTTTTTTACTAGTTTCTCTGTAATCCTTTTTACTTCTTTCTTTATATCATTTTCATTTTCTTAGTAGTTTTCTTGCCACTTATTAAATTTTTATTTAACTTTGTTCTGCCTTGGGTGCCTTGTAATTTTTTTCTTCATTGCTGGGATGATTTTGTCTTTTTTTTTTTTTCCCAGAGTTTAATGGACTCTTTGAATTTCTTCCTCTTTTGTTTTTATCCATTTTTGCTCTTGGTTTTAAAATTTCTTATTGTAGTTTTTAACATCACCAAATATTCTTTTTAACTTATTTCATCTAATTTGGAGTGTTGTGTTATAGCTGTAGCTTTCTTCTACTGTAAAACACTTTGATTTTCATTTTCCTTCTTTTTTTCTTCCTGCACCATTATATGGAATTGGTTTTGTTTGTTTTTCCTATTCCTAGGCATTTGGTAGTGAGAGTTCCTAGTCTGAGTGCTTTCTTCCATCAGTTGCATAAATTATAGTTTTATTTATGGAAAATGTTGATGGGATGGAGGTATGGAGAGAGGGAGGTTGGTGGTGTCTTATTTTTCTTTTATTTCTACAAGATCTTTAATTTTCCCCTTTTACTTCCTTCTTTTTACTCATGGTACTGGCGTAGCTCTGAGGGTACCACTCCTCCATGTATCTGATTCTCCCCTGAAAACCATGATTGTTCAAGACCGCTACTTTTAGTTCCACTCAATTTAAGCCCCTTCCCAGGGGCAGATACTGTGAACTACCAAGTCACTGGCCTTTAGTCAGTATTTTGGAACTTAGTGTTGATTTTTCTTGAAGAGGTTTGTCTATACTTTGTCTAAATTCTCCTTCCCCTCTACTCTTTCACAGAGTCTCTCAAACCTCTCTTTCCCCACTCTCAGTACCCATGAACTTGCAGTGACAGCAGGGAATTTGTTGGTATTGGCATTTATTTCTCTGTTTACATATAATTTTAGGTTTGCTGTGTTCTCCTGGTTATGCTGAAGACTGTGAGTTGTGTGTGGTTTTGTTTGCAATCCTTAGGGACTTCATGGAATTTTGAGCGAGGGTGTGTGGAGAGATTCAGATTAGGTGGCAACCGTTATCTTCCAGATTTGGAAATTCACTACTGAGTACTTTAGAAGGAAATCACCTAAGTAGACTAACCCCATACTATGCCACCACTTCTTGGTGGAAAGCAATAAGGCTCCTGGGCAGTTCTCCTTATGTCTTAGAGAGTCATTAGTCTCTACAATTTCCTTCTGTAAGTAGAATGTCTGCCTGATTACAAAAATTCCTCTGGAATATAAAAGAGCAAAATGTCTTCTTTTATATTCTCATGAACCATTTATGTGAAATGAGTAGAATTGTATAATCCAAGATAGCTTCCAGCATTTTAGGTTCTTAGGAACCTGTGTGTCCATTCTGAAAACTTTAACACAAGAAGTTTAGCACAATGCTACCCAAAATTCATGTGCAGTTTACGTGGCAAGTTTAGAAACTGGACTTCATGTACAGGTAAACACTTCTTTACGCATCAATAGAAGTGGACCAAAAATTTTGCAGGTCATAGGACAATTTAAACAGATCATGAATAACCATATGATCTAGTGTGTTATGTGATATTCATATGGTATTCATTATGGCTTTTCTGTGTCTCTGATAAGCCAAAAAGACCAGCTTAGCATAGTTCTCCTTCCTCTTCAATGCACTGAGTCCATCTTAATAAGTTTTAAATAGTCATTTACCTCACAAAAGGAACCATTTTGGAGATTGCAGTGTTTATCTGTAAACGAGGTGCTAAGCACTCAATGGGCTGTCTTCTGGGCTCCCAAGGTTCTGGATCATCTTTCCCTAAAGCAGTCTGGATTTCCCTTAATGTTATTCCAAGCCATATAAGTTGGCTCCTTCCTCACATCTAGTGAGGCCCCGACTTCTCTTTCTTCTGTCTCCACCATGGGCTGCACTCGTAGTAGCATCCTCTGGACTGTGCGTGGATGTGACTTTCATGTTGTGACCTTGGCATGCAGACCCTTTGGGCTCTCCCTCTCAGTGCTCCATTGCACATCGAAGCTCTACATTTGTCTTTTTATCCATATAATCTTTCCCGAGCAAAGGTTCTGTTGCATAACTTTTTCTCTCTTCAGTATCCTTCACTGGTTTATGTCAAGTCAATGGTAACAATGACATAGGATTGAACAAATACTTGATACCATAAATACCACCTTTCATAATATGTTGACTCATCCATCTTTTTAAAAATAGGTGTATCTTTTAATTAAATGTCTGTTTATTTAAGATGTACAACATGATAATTTGATATATATGTACGTAGTGAAATGATGACTACAGTCAAGCCTATTCATCCCTCTTAAGTTCTCACAAAAGTACATGACATGTGGGTTTTCAAATTAGATAGCACATCACTAGCCAAGATATTTGTCCAACTATTCAAAGTAAAAAATAACCAGGGGCTTAAAAAGCAAAGATATAATTGGATGCCCACTGTGTTTGGAATTATTCTTCATCATGGTTTAGTCCTTGATATTCTTCCAACATATTAGCCTCTAGAATTGCTGATTTTTGTTGTTGTTTCCATTTTGAAGTTATAATTATTTTCACGTATCAGCTAATTTTTTAACTGAACTTTTTGAAGTATAGCGCCCATTCTGGAACGTGCACAAATTCTAAATAAGTATATAGCTCAGTAGATTTTTAATATAAGCATACTCATGTAACCTGCACCCAGATACCCAGATCAAAAACTGGAACGTGGGCTTCCCTGGTGGCGCAGTGGTTGAGAGTCCGCCTGCCGATGCAGGGGACACGGGTTCGTGCCCCGGTCTGGGAGGATCCCACATGCCGCGGAGCGGCTGGGCCCGTGAGCCATGGCCGCTGAGCCTGCGCGTCCGGAGCCTGTGCTCCGCAACGGGAGAGGCCACAACAGTGAGAGGCCCGCATACGGCAAAAAAAAAAAAACAAAAAAACTGGAACATCACTAATACCCTAAAAACCATCTTCTTGTTTTCCTCCCAAATCATGACCCCACTCTCCCAAAGCTACTGCTGTGCTGATGTCTGTAACTGTAGATTACTTGTGTCAGTTTTTAAAATTTGATCCCTCAATAGTTCATACCTCTTTGGGGGGCTGTATAGTATTCCAGTTTACCTATTTGGGGCCTGTTAAGAACAACACTGCTATGAATATCCTTCTCCGTGTCTGTTGGCAACACTAGGTATTCACTTCTGTTGACTTTGTCTTCCAGGAGTGAGACTTGGTGGATCACAGGATATGCTTATATTCAGCTTTGTAGATACACTGCCTTTTAATAACATTGTCAACTTTTTTCTTTCTTTTATTTCAGAGCCCTTCCAGTATTAGTGGATTCAGATGAGGTAAAGTATATTTTTGCTTATGTCTTGGAGCTATTATTTTCACAAAGTAGAAATGTATTTCAAAAGAAGCTCTGAAAGTTACTTTTGAAAATGATTACAAATTGAGCAGATTGAAAGACTGTGTTGAGTTGTGGGTAAAGTTTTAAGAAACTGGATCCTCATTTAAAACAGGAGCAAGATAAATGCTTATTGGTGTGAAAGGAGGGAAGAATCCTTTTATGAGGTTTTGAGTCTATGATTTTCTAACATCTTAAGATGTAAGAGTTTAGAAGACTTCAAGGTGGCAGTTTGTCTAAATCAATCTCTTATATTTGTAGATATTTTCCTGGGGAATTAAATAAAGTTTCTAACTGAGTTACATTTACTAAGTAGGAAATGTGAATAGATGATGTGGATTTAGGAAGGTTTTTTGGGGGAAAAAATTAGTGATAGATCATCTGGACACTGCAGGGTGGCCCAGGACAGGAAGACGTCTGAAGTGTAAGGATTAAAGGATGGACGTGGGGACCACCAGTTTATCCAGAGGAAGAGTAGCGGGAAATGAGTGGTAGCTAAGGAGTAATTTACGTGGTGGCTGTAGAATATGAGAGAAGCTACAGCTCTGTTCATTGAAAGGTCAGGGAGAAGACTGGCATCAGTGCGGGGATTTGGCCGCAGTGGGATGGGAAGTTTTGAGGAGGCTGCCGTATATATGCACCTTGCTACAAAACCATTGAACTCCAGGATTTATAACTCTATGGAAAGATATACCCTGGAATTACTTTTAAAAGGGCGTTTGTAGTATTCATTTGATAAATAATTGATTTGTAATTTCAAAAATACCTAAAGTAGTAGAGTCAGGCAAATCCCTAGATGAGCTCTATGCCTAAGAAATCCATTTTAGCTCTGTCCCTGCCTCACACAGGTGATTCTGAATTAGAAATGTTACAGTTTTCTGAACTTAACAGATAATTGATTATACTCCATTACTAGAAGTCTGGATTATATGGTTTTCATTTTCCATGTCTAATATTTCTGTGTATATCGTGGCGTGTACCCCACAAAATTGTGACTACTTCGTAGAGACGCTATAGAGAATTCTGTTAGGACCTGGAAGGAGCATCAACATTTTGATGAATAACTTCCCTTTTTTTTTAAGGAAATTATGACCAGATCTGAAATGGCAGAAAAAATGTTCTCTTCAGAAAAAATAATGTGATTGGAACCCAGATAAATGAAGCTTACATAACAGTGAAGGACTTCCTCAAGACTAAAAGAGAACTCTGTTTTGATACAGTACAATAAGTTTTTATTGCATGATCTTGGAAATCTATGTACTAAAACTAAGAATTCAGATGGTGGGAGGGTTCTGCAACCCTTATTAAGCTGACTCTTGAATGCCAGTTTAATGTCCATTAAATTGCCTAGACTTGGCAATGACCTGAGAGAAGTATTATAATAAAGATAGGCGCCCAAATGCCCTTAGCTGATGGGTGGCAGGCGTGTGGGTTTGGATTCTCTTTTTTGTTCCTGGGAAATATGACAATTTAAAACACCTTTTTTTTTTTTTTTTTTTTTTTTTTTGGTACGCGGGCCTCTCACCGCCGTGGCCTCTCCCGTTGCGGAGCACAGGCTCCGGACGCGCAGGCTCAGCGGCCATGGCTCACGGGCCTAGCTGCTCCGTGGCATGTAGGATCTTCCCGGACCGGGGCACGAACCCGTGTCCCCTGCATCGGCAAGCGGACTCTCAACCGCTGCGCCACCAGGGAAGCCCTAAGACAACTTTTTTACATCAACACTCCTACTGTTCTTCCACTGACCTTTGTTTGATTCAGGTGATGCGATTCTTCTGAGGTGTGGTAAAGCAGTGTCTCCATCTCTTGGGTTTATAGTTACTAGATGCAGTAATAATTCTCTTTGATTTTCATGCTGAAGCAATTTGATAAGAAGTAAAACTTGGTTAACATTGGAACATAAGGATGTTTATATGGTTAGGTTTGCTCTGTGTGTGTGTGTGTGTGTGTGTGTGTGTGTGTATGTGTGTGTGCACATCTGCACAAAGCCCTTGTGTGTAATTATCACCACACACATCAAATCATAGCATTGGTCTTCTCTGTCTGAGCTCAGGGGAGCACAGTACATGGAGAGAGGTTATCCAAAGATCTGCTCTGCCACTGTCCCCTCCCTCAGGCCAGATATCTGGGTGCTGCTGCTGAATGCCTGGGGCAGGTGGGGTCCCCTGGCCACATGGCTCCACCAGAGCACTTCCTCCCTGGCGAGCTGGGAGGCTCATACCAGTGAACCTTGAGGAAACTAGAACCTTCTACGTAATCCTAGCATATTTGGTTTCATAAAAAAAATATATATTTAACTGCATAGTGCATCACTATTAATCTTGTAACTAATTTTTAAACCTTAAACCATGTTTTATACATTATTTTCTTACATTATATATGTAATGTGTAATTGGAAATTAAAAAAAAATTTTTTTTTAATGCAGAACGTTCTAAACCTGAAAAGCAGTTGAATATAGCATGATGGAAATGGTGAATGTTTTGCTGCTCTCCTGACCAAAGATACAGCCTAGTGAACATTTAGAATAGGAATTAAAGTTAGAATCCTATATGTCTTTCTTTGAAGGAGTTCTAACCTTGTGAGTTGAGGATGACTTCAGAGGTTTTTCTTGCAGTACACGGCCCCTCCCACCGCGGAGCACAGGCTCCGGACGCGCAGGCCCAATGGCCATGGCTCACGGCCCAGCCGCTCCGCGACATGTGGAATCCTCCCGGACCGGGGCGCGAACCCGCATCCCCTGCATCGGCAGGCGGACTCCCAACCACTGCACCACCAGGGAAGCCACCAGAGTTTTTGATTAAGCATTAAATTCTTAACCAGTACAAGCACTTAAATCATAACCTTTCATTGATTTTTTTCATTGTGAAGCCACAGAACAAAATGATTTCTTACAAAAGCCTGCGTTATGAATTGGCTTCTCATTTTCTCATTTCATAGGAGTTAGTAAAAAAGCTTTCTAGGGCTTCCCTGGTGACGCAGTGGTTGAGAGTCTGCCTGCTAATGCAGGGGACACAGGTTCGAGCCCTGGTCCGGGAGGATCCCACATGCCGCGGAGCAACTAGGCCCGTGAGCCACAACTACTGAGCCTGCACGTCTGGAGCCTGGGCTCCTCAACAAGAGAGGCCGCAATAGTGAGAGGCCTGCGCACCGCGATGAAGAGTGGCCCCCGCTTGCCACAACTAGAGAAAGCCCTCGCACAGAAACGAAGATGCAACACAGCAAAAATAAATAAATTAATTAATTAACTCCTACCCGCAACATCTTCTTTAAAAAAAAAAAAAACTTTCTAGTAGTAATGCCTCTTGAAAGATACTTTCAAATTTATTTGCAGTAGTAAATATTGACTGTGTTGTACTGAGAAAGGTTTGGGACATCCTTCCCAAGAAAAGAACATCTAACAGTGTGGGTTCCCTTCCTTATTTCCGTTTCTGCCACAATAATGGGCTCCCACCTACCATCTTTCCCAGCATTTATGTCCATTCTGGTTTTGGTGTATTTTACCCTCAGCCCAGTTGTTTCAGAGCTGACCAGTGCCTTCTTGTTCCTAACATTTGTGTCTAATACCAGTCCCCAGATTTTGAAGCAGATTGATCCCCAACTCATAGGGCTCTAGTTGAATTTTGAAATGTAGAATCCTGGGTTTCCAGCTGCAGATGTCGTGGAGTGCGAGTGGGGAGTTGATGGTAACTGTGTAGTAATAAGGGAAAATGCTTCTCACATAACCTTGATAGTGTTTATAAAAACACTTCTGTCTGCAGCTGGCAAGAAAAATGATGCTGCCGGTATGGCTCAGGTGCACAGCGAAATGCAGACTTTTCTCCAAATCACAGAAAGCAGTATTTTCTCCTGATAACCTCATCAGAAATGTTTTTCAAGGGGCGTATACTGTGTCTGTCACCTTCAGCGGCAGTTGTGTTTGTTGGTGGCTCGTCAGCTGAATCGAGTGTTCCTACAGAGGGCCTTCTCGGCCCCCTCGTGTGCACAGGAGGGGCTCCCTGGGGCTGTAGCCGTAGTTCTGATGAAGGACCCCAGGGAGAAGTCACACTCAGAGCCACCGTACAGCTCGTCATCCCCGCTTCTGCACAAAGTGTCCAGAAACTGGGCATCAGGGTCTTTGAGGCTGTCACATCATTTTATTCTTAGGATGCCATCAGGATGGGTTTCCCTGTTAATGCAGGGATCTGAGAATAAGAGTCCAGTTTTATGTGTTCCTAGGCAAAATGCTTAAGTGTTTTTATTATGCAGTTCATGTTAGGTTTATGTGAAGTATGAAATTTGCTTAAAAGGGAATTTTCATGATTTGAATTAGATTAGTATTAGTATCTGCTTTAGTGGAGCTTTAAGTTAGTTTATTTCAAAAAATAAGGAAAAATAGATGAATATGTGAATTTTTTAAGCCCAAGAGATGATGCTCCCATACTTTTTACCTTTCCTGTAAAGAAAATAATATTTAAAATCTTTCACATATCCTGTAGAGAGTACTGACTTTCCCCCTCTACGGCAGTATATTATATTTGCACTATTGTAATGTGAAGACTGAAAGTATAAAAGACATACATGTACATGAAAGTATAAAACGATTTTTCAAAAGGGATTTGAGTCTATTGCACTAGGCCATACAGGACTGGTTTATGAGACGTATTATGATAGATTTATAAGTCCCTAGTTTTGGTACTTGTGTCTTTGTATGATCAATAGCATGTGATAAGCAATACAAAACACCATGCCTTATAAGAAAGAAGTTTAACATGTTGGTTAAAGTACTAAATTACATAGTGAATGTATATAAGTGACAAAACTAGGTTTAAGGAAATGTACATTATAACACAGGAGCTCAATAAGAAACTTCTTTAGAACTAGGAAAACATGTATTTGGGAAGAAAGGGGCTTAAGAAGTTATATATTTTTATTTAAAAGGTTAAATTATTGTATTATTTGGAAGAAGCTGCTCTGAATGTAGGACAAAACTATTTCAAAGATTTTTGTTTGAAAAAACTGATGTATTTTTGTGCCTTAATATTTGTTCTGACAATAAAATGCTTTCTGAAATTTTGGATGATCATTCTTTTTTTTTTTATTTTTGGCAGTGTTGGGTTTTCGTTGCTTCACGCAGGCTTTCTCTAGTTGCAGCAAGCGGGGGCTACTCTTTGTTGCGATGCACAGGCTTCTCATTGCGGTGGCTTCTCTCATTGCGGAGCACAGGCTCTAGGTGCACGGGCTTCAGTAGTTGTAGTGCATGGGCTCAGTAGTTGTGGCTCGCGGGCTCCAGAGCACAGGCTCAGTAGTTGTGGCGTATGGGCTTAGTTGCCCCGCGGCATGTGGGATCTTCCCGGACCGGGGCTCGAACCCGTGTCCCCTGCATTGGCAGGCGGATTCTTAACCACTGCGCCACCAGGGAAGTCCGCACCAGGCACTTTAGATACGATATCTTAATCCTCTAACAAGCAAATCACATGTCCCTCAGGGGCCCAAGGTTTATTTTCATCCCGTGGGCCCACCGTCTCCTGGGGCCTGTCATCTGCATCCAGCCAGCAGAAAGGGAGAGTTGCTCCAGCCTGGGGATTTTGCGGGGCTAGACCTGGAAGTGGTGCCCATCACTTCTTAGCCTATTCCATTAGCAAAACTCAGTCACGTGGCCACACCGAACTGCCAACTGGACTGGGAAATGGCACGGGCCGTATCCCTGCCTGCTATTCTAACTGTGAGAGGAGAACAAGGATTTTGGTGGACAACCAAGGCTTCTGCCACAGGTTATTTGGGGTCACTGGCCTAGGGGAGACTTCCAAACCTATGTTTTTCCAATTTTCTAAGGTCAACATATTGAGAAATAAATATGTTAAAGGGCCATAACTAGGCTGTATGATATCAGAAACTTTAGAAACATGTGTTCTCAGATCACAGCTGAGTCCATTAATCAATAAAACCCATCTGGCCCCAAGTAGATGGGATGTAGAGAATTTTCTTCATGGGAATTCTCCCAGCCTTGGGGGGTGGTCAGGATGGGTAGTCCCAGAGGAAAAGTAGGGTCTGTTGTCATGACTGTGATGACAGTTCAGGGAGTGTTGGGAGTGCTGGAGAGTGCCAGGCTTTGTTAACCGTTGTGGTCTCATAGTAGACAATGAGGGAGGTATAGCCACTTTATACATAAGAAACTGAGACAGGGTGGTTAAATAACTTACCCAAGGTCACCCTCCTGACAAGTGACAAAACTGGTACAATACCAGCTATGGGTGAGAAGTGTCCTTTAAGGGTTGTCCTCAAAGTCCTGGGGAGAAGGGAAATTTCATTTAACAAACATGTGATTGCTTGTTAGAGGATTAAGATATTGTATCTAAAGTGCCTGGTGCGGACTCCCCTGGTGG